AGAGAGGAAATTACTGGAGACTGCATCGGAGTTTCCTTTCCCAAGGGCAACCCTGTCTCAAGGCCAGCTTCCCCCAGCTCGGATCTGCCAGTCTTTGCCGACACCAGACTACCAGGACGGCTCCACTTTTTCCAGGGTATAGAAACTAACGAATTGTCCCGATGATCAAATCTGTGGCCTGTGTCCAAGCTGTCATCGACACCACCGTTCTTATCATTTTGTTCTTTCTGGGAGGTCTGGGATGTGCATGAGATCGGAGCAGCGACTGGCCGCTGGGCGGTCGCATGGGGATCGTGATGGTGCTGCCTCGAGTCACCAGAATCCCAATATGGGGATCGTCGGAAAGATCCTCGGCTATCCCTGCTGCTGCCACCGCTGCTGCTACGGCAGCCACCGCCATATCTAACGGACAACGGCCTAAAGCCATCTTCTTCGAACCAAAACCTATCAGACCGTGATGGTGTGCATCCATGACCACTGGAATCTTCCGGGTGGACCTGATGGTAACTTCCGCCCTGCCGGTAATGACCTTTATAAGAAAAATTCCTTACTAATTAGGACGGAAACGGGAGGAAAGCAAGTAAAACACAGAGAAAACACAAGATTTGGCCCAGATGTCCCAGATCTGCCACGAAACAGGGTTGCAAATTACCTGAGAGGGGTCGGCGAGGGGAGGCACGGGGCAAGTCACGGGGACCGTGGTAGGGATCCCTCCACCGAGAAGCAGACGAGGAGCCCCCGCCGCCGCCGCCGCCGCCTAGGGCATCCCCTCTCTCGTTCTTCTTGTGGTCCTTGAAGGCGTACTCCTTGCGATCCCAGGGTAGTGGTTCGGGAGGCATCAATTTTCACAGCTCCAAAGGGCATGCAGGCCCAATAAGAACGAAGCAGCTCCACCAATCCGAGGAAGCCTCCTTCAACCCAAGGGCCTTCCTCGGATCTCAGTCAATCTATTCCCTAAGGTTTCCACCGGTGGGGCAGATCCAAAGTCCCGTTCAAAACACGCACCAGGAACTTCTATCTAGGGTTTCTCCCGTTGTGAGGAGGAAAATAAGACAGAAACAAGACGTTCTCAACGGAGGCAGAAGCAGGACCTCGTCGTGAGCTCGGGGGCGCGGAGAAGAAGGCGAAGGAGCCACCCGCCGCCACCGCGCCCGATGGTCTTCGCCGGACGCCCCGATCCCGTCTTTTCTGGTGCGTGAGGAAACGGACGCCGAGCTGCGGAAGAGAGAGAAGAGGAGAAGAAAACATGAGTCGATAAAATGAAGAACGCCCACAGCCTGGATTTTAATGCTCCTTAACCAGATTTCAATCCCCTTTGGCGTCCGCTAAAAAAAAATAATAATAATAATACTTAACTGTTTTTTTTTTTTAATATCCCTTTCCCCTTTTTTTTTTCTTAAGGTACGTCTTCTCTTTCTTCCCCTCACGCTTTCCTGCGCTTGCCGTATGCGGACTCCAACCCCCTTCTTCCCCAAAATACCCCCGAGCCTGATTCGAAACCACGATCCAACCAGCACGCATCCCACGGCGCCGAAACGAAAGGGGCAGGCTCGTGAATTCATGGAAGTTCGAGGGGCTTTTCCCGAAGCCCGCTCCGGCTTCGAGATCCTTCTCCGCTCGATCGAGGGGTGCGCCCGGTCAACCGCGAGCCACGTCGTGTCCCAACTCACTCACGCGTGCGTGCGTGCGTGGGGCACGTGCGGGACACGTGACAATGGCAGGACCGGGAAAGGAATTAAATTAAATCAAAGAATTTAATTTAATTTAATAGCGTCAGTTTAGGACTAACAAAAAGGAATAATAAATAGAGGGAAATGGGAAAGATATTCTTTGTCTAGTTGACAAGTATGGTGGGGCTTATCCTTGAAAAGATGCCTCGAGGTGATGATGGCATGTGTTCGTATGGTGGGGAGGGAGGGAGGATGAAAGGGAAGCTTGTAGAGAGAGAGAGAGAGAGAGAAAAGGATTGGATGTGGGTGGGGGAGAGAGATGGGTGCTTTTGACCTTCTACTATGACTTACGTTTCAAAGATAAGCATGTGGGGGAAGTTTTTGTTAAATCATGTCCCAAATCAATCATTTTATATGCAAGTTGATAGGGGATGTTCCAAAATTGGGATCCCCATTTATGAGAGTTAAATTAAAATGTGTTTTTTATAAAGTTATATACGATTCTAACGAGCATGAGATGAATGCTTTGTGATTTTTTACATTATTATAGGTATTCTAAAAACAAAAAATATTTATGTTTAATCATGACTAGTTACTTTCCATCCTAATCACATAAGATTCTTGTTATTCTAATTATATAGGAAATATATTTTTTACTAGTAAATATTCTAATTATATATATATATAATATTTTTTACTAATAATATTTTTAATAGGTATATATTCTAAAAATTAATATATTTTTTTTAATGACGAAGACAGAATTGAAGCTTAAGATGTTACGATAAACTATCGATATCTTTATCCATTAAATTAACTAGTAACTTCTTATAATAAGAAATTATTTGTATGAGAATTATAAAAAAAATAACGAACATTTAGAGTCCAAGGAGAATCTCTTTCTAGCAAAATTTAATCCTCTCTATAACATTTATAAAGTAAAATATAAAGTTATAATATTCTCTTCGATACTCAAACTAATTCTCATTTACTTCCTCGTTTTATCCCTTTGTATTTAAAACTTGGCAGTGGCATAAAATATTTATATATATTTATAAGAACACTTATACATATTATAGTTGGTATTTTCTTAATTATTCATTAAATATTATTTTTAATGTTTATATTGATTTAATTGAAGTTATTCTTCATCCAATCAATATTTAACACATGAAAAAAAAAATATTCTTTCAAACAAGGATAATTTGAAAAGTATTTTTTAACGTTAAATAGTTGGAGACTTTAGATTATAACCAAGGATCTCTCTATGTTTTTATTCTTATTTTCATTGTTATATTTCGTCTAAATTAGTTTTTGTTGAGAGATCATAATAATAGTTAGTATGTGTTTAGTTTCATATTTGAGTCTATATATGAGTCTTTTTCCATGTCATTATTATAATTAATTTCTTATTTATTAATATAATCTCCTTAGATTATAGCTTATCATGCCAACAAATAAGTATATTAGTAAATCTAAAGAGGTATATGTATATGTAATTTTTTTTATTATGATTTGAAATGTGAAATGATGTTCTATTTATTATATTTTTATTTTGATCCTATGATGATATTTACCATTAGCAATATACATTATTATTAATTTTGAATCGTTGCTCCAAAGTATTAACCTAATGGATCGTTTTCAAGCTACAATTCTTATTTTTTTAAACAACACCACCAAACCTTTCTAATCACTTGCCATCATCAAGAAAATTGACTTGAAAGTTCCTATCATTTTTATTTATCTTTAACACGATATATATGTACTTTCATAACCTAATGTCTGTCTTAATTCATGTGATTAATGTCTCGAGAGAAAAAGATTAACGCGCTATGAGTTTGACATCTTGGTATCATGAGATCGATATCTCGGACCACGGATCAATATAACTGATATGATATGATTTTCTAAACGTTACAATCGCATTTACGATGGCACTATACACTCGGGATACATTATAATATGATTACATATAATACCAAAAAAATCTTATAATTTACTTAGATATTAAGATATGTTCTCGCGCGTAATAATATTTAGAATATTAATATAAAAGCCTGCCAAGTGTGTTCTCTATCTCTTTCATACTCTTTTAAGCCTACCTATATTCAGCTGTTACTCAATATCACTTTATATTCAAAACTAATTCAAGCATTAAAAGTGCTCTATCAAATATATTCGATATAATTTTTATAAAAATTGATTTATTCAAAACGAGTATATTCTACATATCTTGACATTAAGTTGAAATAAACGCAGAATAAGATTTTAATTGGTTCTGAATCATTATCCCAATAGAATAATCATAGTATGCTTTAACAATATCAATTAAAGCTAGTCGTTCAGATTTTATATTTTACAAATCTATGTTAAATTAGTCAAAAATGATATACGTAATAATTTTTGCGGCCAAACTATCAAGAAATGACATAATACATAATATTAAATAAATATTAGTTGAACGCCATCACCAAACTCAAACTCAGTTAGAAAACTCAAACTATCAAGAAATGACATAATGCATATTAAACTATAGTATTTTATTACATAAATATTATTTGAACACCATTTAAAATGAATGGGAGCATATAAAGGATCGAACTCATAATCTACTTTTGATCGAGTAACTAATCATTTCAATAAGCTTAACATATTTGGGTTGTGATTGCATCCCATTTTATGTTTTATATAAACCATAATATAATCGTTTATAAATTATATAAACTACTATTATATCATTAAAAAAATTATAAAAATATAAAAAAGATTTATGAATTAATTAATGAGAGATGAAAGTTGGAGAGGGTAATTAAAGATTACCTCATGGTTAATTATGATTAGCATCTCGATCTCTATACTTCAAAAAATAGTATTAGGATCCTTACGTGAAATATTTAATCCGAATTCTTCTTATTTTGTTAACTTCGAAAAAAATTATACGTATTGTCACGTACAAAAAAAATATATAATATAATATAATTTTATCAATATTTTTTTCTTCTCCTTTTTCAAATTGCTCATCTATACTTTCCTACTTCTCGTCATACTTGCTCGCCCAACACTTGCTATCTGCTCACACATCACTTCATCGTCGCACTTGCTCGAGTGGTGGGCGAGTAGGAAGGTGCAGCAGGTTGCTAGCGAGCCATTCATAAAGATGAAAAGAAAAAATCGATAAAATTTATATAAAATTAATAATTTAATAATAATAATAAAATTATATATATATTTATTTTTTGCGCATGCGATTGTTTCCGTCGATGAAATTAACAATGTAAGAAAATTTAGATTAAATATTTTGCTTAAGGATCCAATTAAAGTATAGGAATCGAGACTATAATTATAATTAACTATCGGATAATATGCAATTACTCCGAAGTCGGAAGGAGAGAGAGGAGAGAGTACGATCGATCCGATCCGATCCGAGATCGAAGACTTCGAATCTTTCTCGTGTTCTTCCGTTTCGGGGGATGAATCGATACCGATTTGCTCCGCGGATTCCCCTACGGATTCGATTGGTGCCCTTCCCAGGTCCCGGATGCCGGTGTCCTGAATCATCAAGACCAGCGAATCACTCCGATCGCGGTACGTTTCCCTTTCACAGGGCAATGCGAATCGGCGGTTTTCTTTGATTCCACCGCGGAATCCTGTTGAGATTGATGTTGGTGACCTTCGATTGCGGAGCGGAGTTCTTGAGTTTTCCGTTGGCTTCTGAAAGGTTTCGCATCTCCTTACAGGTTCGGGAACACCGGTCGCGAATAGTTTACGAGGTCGAGGGTTTTTTTGGGATCTTATTTGGATTTACCGGGTTTATGAGAAGAGGATTAATTAGATGACAAGAAGCAACGGCGATTTGAGTCGAGATCGAGCGCTTCTCGTATTCTTCTCTGGGTGACACAACTGCGAAGACTTTGAAGATTTTGTTGTGGTTGAAACTGATGCGGGTTTCTAAAAACAGCAGATTGAGGTGAACGGATTTATTTGGGGGGTTTCTGCGATTGAGAGGATCTTGCAGAGATTGATTTTCTTCGTCGAGAGATATATCTATGGGCCTTTGAAGGTATTAGTCGCAGTTGAATGTGATGAAAATTCTGGGTTTCCTGAAGCCAGACCGGTAGACTATTACTAGACCTAAAAGATTTAGTTGAAGATTGTGTTAAAAATTGCAAGAATTTTAATGGCCAAGGATCTTGAGCAGATCGAAATAAATTCATGATCTTGGATATGGGGAAGCATCTGGTGCTACGAATCAAGTGTCAAATACTGCTAATGGGGAGAATAGAGATCATGAACTAAAGTTGGCATGAGCAGCCGACAAAATATCAATGGTACAAAATTGCAATTTATTCAACCTGTAACAGAAGAGTAGAAAAATGCTGTATCGGGCAATGTCTTTGGTGCTTGTTATCCATGGAAAGTTATACCAAGGCTCGATGGAGTAGATTTGGGCATGCCACTCTTTATATGCTCGAGCAAGATTTTTTTTTGTGTTTGATGTTCAAGATAAGGCAACTAAACAACTAGTGGTAGAGATGGGACCTTATTTTTTTGGCTGTAAGCCTTTGGTTTCAAAGCCTTGGGGACCTGTTTCTGTTATGAAAGAAGAGAAGATAATATTATACCTATACGGATCAGTTACAAGGAGTGCCTTTGTTCTTTGATCAGTTTACATTTAGAAAGGAGAGACTTTTCGTTTGCTTGAAGTTGTGTGGAGATCAGTTACCTCAAAGCTGTTCAGGTTTTCAATGGTGATATTTGTCGATCAACCTACTGCTTATGAATGGGCACCTTTAAGTTGTAAATTCTGCAGTTGTTTGGGTGATATTTAATGATAAATGTAAGAAGGGGTCTCAAATTATTGGTATAAGGCAGAAGAAGAAATCTGTTATCGATAATAATCTTAGAACTATGCTTTTACAGCATGAAATTTGTAACCACTTGGGGTTTCATATATTAACTATATCTTCTGCTTGCCAGATAAGCTTTCAACCGCATATAGAAGTATGGTGCCCTAAAACAAGATTGCTATATTAGTTATCAGCACTCCCTTCACCATACCGAGAGAGAGAGAGAGAACCTTGCATCAATTTTATGTGTTTATTATACTTCCATCAAATGTCCGGATCTATTGTGTGAAAGGACTTACCAGTTTGGCTCCTAGTTCTTTTAAAGGTCAGTGTTTCTGGTTCTGAGATTTAGTATTCTTTTTAATGGTTGCAGGTGCTTTCTGAAACATTACCATGAAAAAATTGCTTAAAGAAACAGCATATGTTCTATTCCAGGATGAATGGAGAGTTAACTGTAGTGACAATAAGCATTTTCTGGCCATACAACTCATGCACTCTTCCACTGTTGCTTTATTGTTCAATTAGGTTAGAGTTGATTAACTTTGCTTAAGGCTACATGACAAAAGAAACAATTCTGTAGGGACATAAGTTTATAACACTTCAAAAATGGAAGGATAATTGTTCCTTGATTTTTTTCCCCATTTTTTAAAATAGGCCTGTATGGTTGGTAACGAAATGTGGTTATAATTGTATTAGCTGTCTTGAAGGAGAGAATTTTTGCTTGAGAAACTTCACTACCGCGGCCCAAAACTGTCAGATAGGTTGTCAATTGTGCCTGAGAAATTTTACTTTGTGTTTGAGAAATATCACATTGTATAGGTTAGGATTATCGAACCAGCAACTTAAATATTTCATGCTCGAGTCCTGAGTCAGGAAATGATTTTTTATTTTTTTCCTGTGGATTGTGCAGCACCAGTCAGGTTCAACTCCATGGCTTTTGCAGACATTCCAACAAGAGCTAGTAACCATCCAGCATCTAGTTTCAATTCAGGATCTCCAGCCTCTTTTGCTACTTATACTTAACATTAAACAGTTACGTGAATCCTTGATGTTTTGGAAGTCCCAGAAAATTTCCACCAGATCAAGCTCCAAAAGTGCCTTACATGTATAATCAACCTATAAGAAAGGATGGGTACAGCACAAGGTTTTCTCATGGGGACTATAGAAGGGTTACATTTACAAGAAAAATCCCAGTTATGCCTCTAATTGCTGACAGAGCTGATGCTACTGAATACCATCAAACTGGAAGTTTTTTCAACTGTCCCTCTTCATCTTGCTCAGATAGCACAAATGTTATTTCAAGTACTGAATGCTTGTTTTGGACACCATAAACATGCTAGCCAGCTACAGGAATGATAAAAGCAATTATATTGTTGGCGATGGACTGCAGAAGAAATCAATACTTTGGCATAATGACGAATATCATTCTCAATTCATGTCAACTTGGTTCTTTGCTTCAAGAAATATAACTTATGATTTTTATTCAACCTATAAGACTTCTGATCCAAGACTGACAGAATGGTGGAACCATTTTGTTGCACCCATGGAACCCCAGTGACAGGTTACATCCTCAGGTTAGTCACCTTAGAATAGTTGGTTAAACGATTTTGTTGTTAGGTTATGTGTCTTATTTATACTTTTAGTTTGTGTTCATGAGCTGAACCAGCTCACGACAAGAGGCATGTTAATGGTGGTACCATGGTGATACTGCATATTTTCTCCATTTCAATCAGAACAGAAATGCAAGTGGTCATCTGCCAGCTTTTCAATGTCCTTCCATCCGAGTTATGGTGCCAGCTCAAAGTGGCCACACCCAGATGGTAATCCCTTATAACACCATTTCAAGCTATTCATGCACGGGGGTTGTCGATTCCAGACAATTGTGGCTACTGCTTATCCTAGGGAATATCATAGAGCTTTGCATCAGAGATCCCAATCTATGTTCAATGAACACAATGAACACAGTCGATGGGTCAGCCTTTTACAGGTCGATAGATCTGTTTGATCAGCACAGGAACATGAGAATGAATATGGACAACATTTGCTATGTGAGGTAAGTTGAAGTTACTTATGCCAATTTGTTCTTTTTCCTCATCGATCCTTTATGTTCTCTCTAGTTATTTTCTGCAGGAATTACTTGCTTTGGATTAAAGGATAGGAAATGCCAGTACAGTCTTGTCGGAAGTGACAGCTTCAAGGTGCATGATGGAGACAGCCTACCTTTTTTCTCATCAAATCCAGGATGAAGGAAACTGTCATATGCCCGGTAAAGACTAATATCCGTAACCCAGTTTGTACACAATTCCTGCTGCCAATAATCTTGGAAGACTTGGACCAAGGTCAGAGCTGTATATATCCGTTGATGGATATTTAATTTTGTATTTTAAATTTTTTGAGTGATGTCGGCTGGTATAGATCGGTGTAATACCAAGATGCCTATACTGTACCGATTTGATCCGTTATTGAAACTGACAATGGATTGAGATCTAAATCCTTGCACACTTGTAAGATCTGTTTAATCTATGAAAACCTGTACTGACTATATATTATATCTTCTGTGCTCACAGATTACATTTGTAGGAAGAGTATAAGGAGAGGGAGAAATGGGGAAGACTTCCATGTTAGCTGCATGTGGAAGCCAATAAAGAACGGTTGCCCGGTTTGCAACGACTCTGCTTTTATTGGACCTTAGGAGAAGGCAACGATTCTTTGTAATTTAGCTTAGGCTATTGGTGTCATTTTGTTCTTTTAAGCTTTTGTTCTTGAAGGGCTATTAGAATGTCAGAATTTGGAAATAAGCTCAAACTTCTTTAATTAAGTTCAATTTGTGGTAAAAGCTCTTTCTCGGAGTCTAGCAGTTGATGTTGAACTTGAGATAAGACATTTTGGATTACCAATCTTGGATTAAGTTGGTCAAATACAGGTCTGACGTGGATCATTCAAAAGAGACCTTTCTAGCTGCCCAACTACACATTGATGTGTTGGGTTTTAGCGAATTCTTATATTATTTGGTGATACAGAATATACTATGAATGATTTTAATCATTCGATAGATAATCATCATATAGAGTGCTTGATAGGAGGAAAAGATTCAAGTTATCTCTCACGTCTGTCTAAATGGATAAGAGTACAAGATAGATAGTTTGGAGTTGTCTTTTCCTTATTGCCCACGTGGACAAGACTTCAAGAAAAGGATACTGGGGCAATTAGAGGCTATCTCTCTTCCAAGGCTAGATATAAAAATAAGTGTCTCTAATATAAGGAGATATTTTTTGGACTTCTTTTTTACTACTCGCACCCCCGCATTCATCTCGGGTTACTAACTTGAGCTTTGAGGGATCGGGTCAGAAACCCTCTCTTGACCTCGATCTTCATGCAAGAAATGCCTCGGGAGCTCGACGTTTCCATCTTGGAAGCACTTCGGACAACCCTACACATACAGGTCCGAATCACGTCGAGCTGACCAAGATATCAATGACACTTTCTCATAATATTTTGGCATGAGAAGGAGGGCAAAGGCGTAAGGCAAAATATGCCTGAGGCGTGTGAGTTGAGAAAAGTCGACCTGCATGAATGAAAATCCGCTACGACAGAGGTACAAGGCGAAATGTGCTCAAGGTGTGTGAGTAAAAAAAAATCAACCCACATGAAGAGACATCTGTCATGATGGAGGCATAAGATAAAATATACCTAAGGCGTGTAAGTCAGAGAAAATCCAACAAGTGTGAATAGAAACCCGCTAGGCGGAGGCGCAAAGCAAAATGTGCTTGAGGCACATGAGTTGGAAAAACTCGACCTATGTGAATGAAAACTCGACAGGAGTTGGAAAAACTCGGCCTATGGAAAAACTCACTATGGCAGAGGCATAAAGCCAAATATGCCCAAGACGCGTGAGTCAGTAAAGGTTGACATATGTGAAGAGAAATCCACAATGATAGAGGCGCAAGATAAAATATGCTCGAGGCACATGAGTCGGAAAAACCTAACTTGTGTGAACGAAAATTTGCCACAGTAGAGGCATAAGGCTAAATATGTCTGAATACTCGTGTGAGGAGAAATCTACTATGATAGAGGCGCAAGGTAAAATGTGTCTAAGTCACGTGAGTCATAAAAACCTAACCCACATGAGGACATCTCGAAAGCACTCGTTTTGGATGAACTAAATGTTGCACTTTAGGCCCCTCTCACAAGGGCCTCAAAACGTGGGACAAACGATAGGGAATATACTATCAGTCAATCATCCTCCGACATGTAGTCATTACGTGAAGTCCTTAGTAGGAGAAAAAGATCTAGATCACCTTCCACCTATGTGCCCATGAAAAAAAGTTTAAGACAGACAATTCGGGGCTATCTCCCCATTGCCACTTACGTGAATAAGACACTAAAAAGAGGACATTGGGACAGTTAAGGGTTGTCCCCCCTCTAAAGCTAGGTATAAAAATGTGCATCTCCAACACAATAAGGAGGGTTTTTGGATTTCTTTTAACCACTCATGTCTGAATTTATCTCGGGTTACTAACTTAGAGTGTCGGAAGGATCGGATTGGGAAATATCTCCCAATCTCAATCTTCAAGTAAGAAACATCTCGGGAGCACAACGTTTCTACTTCGGAAGCACCTCGAATAATCCTACGCATATGAGTATAGACCATATTGGACCGACTAAGACGTCAACGACTCTTTCCACTAACATTTAGCATTTCTTTTCTTTCTTATGATTGTATGTATCCTATACTTCAAATCTTGACCTATATATATTTATATTTATATTCATAAATATTCATCTCTAATATGTAATTATCTATTTTAGTTTTCTATAATGAAATTTGGAAACTATTTTGCTAATTAGTTTCTCTATAAATAAAAAATTTGGATCCTAAGCATTACAAGTAAAACTTTATTATTATAAAATGAAACTTCTAATATAATTATAGAATAGGTAAATATGAAACACTTTATTATAGTATCTAATTATAGAATAAATTTCATCATAATGAAATTTTAAAATAAAAAGATAACAATTAATAATTTAAATTATAATATAACTTTACACATTTGATATGTTTAGGACTTAATACTCATGTATAAACCATATTCTAGTGGTATTTCAGTAAATAATCTAAATCATACAACGGGGGAATACGATCTCTGCACAAATAAAGTGTGGTTGTCATATGGATGACTAGAATTGAATGCATAGGAGTAGCATCTTTGCACAATCCTCTTCAACAATTCGTATAGTGGAAACATCATACACTTTTTAGTTCTTTCTCTAAAAGAGAATTTACCCTAATTTATCTCTATAGCCAATTGTTCTCTTTTAATTAATACCAAGTGGGCTTATTACCTACATTGAATGAATGTATCGGATCACGAATATATCTTTTTGCCCGAAGTAAAACTTTTCGATCTAGATGCAATCGACTTTTAGAACAATCATCTCCCCTTTCGCTCTCCTGTTCCCTGACTCTTATTTCATAAGGGCTTGAAACATTTCATTCCAAAAAAATCGATATCAGAGGACGATCGAGATTTGAGTCGTGTGCCTCTTTGCTTATAAGGAAAAGTGCTTATATCGCTCTTTTCGAGATCCTACAAACTTTGTGCAAACAATATTATACAAGTAAACCAAGTCAAGTAAGATCTCTTATTTGTGTTAGTTCTGATATAGTACATCTTTTTGTTCATTAAATTTTGTTGTGAAAGCTTCACGATCATGATGCTCTTAAAAGATCCATTTATCGGGTCAAATTTACCTAATCTATCATGCCAAAAGAAAAAAAAAATCAGAGAGGAGTGCTTAAGCAAGAAGATATGGATTTGTCATGTTCATGAGGCTTTGGTCACCCTTTCACAAGTCGATCTCTTGGGCTACACACACATCATGAGCAATTAGGCGAACATTTAGGGCTACGTTAACGAGGTTCCACGTGACAACCGAGATTAGCCACGTTTAGAAAAGCAATATTGTGATTTCGTCCTTTTTTTGGGCACTGTGGTTGGAGTGAGGTTGACGCTTCCAAGGCTCAAGAAATGGACACTGCCAATACCCGTACACACCCAAAAAAGGAGAGAGGAGGAGGAAGACGAAGGGGAAGAGAGGAGGAGGTTTGCCAAGCGTGAGTGAGCCTGCAAAACCCTTGTTGTCTCATCATTTCTTGTCCTTCCGACTCCATCACCTCCACTCTACTTTCCTCAGTTTCACCCTCATAAGCAATCAAATCAAGAAATAGAGATAGATAGAGAGAGAGAGAGAGAAGGGAGGGGATGTCATACGTAGTCTTCTTCTTTACATTCGCTATTCACTAGTAAGCTTATCTTTTGAACATGCATGTGATTTTTTATGCTACAATTCATGTCTCCTAATTATCCACCTTAATTTTGAAATAAACTAGGGTTCCATAAATGACTTGTTGATTCATTCCTACCTTAAATAATTTTCGGTTTTGCATAGCGAATAAATCTCGAATTTTGGACCCTTTTTTTATTTTTTTTACTAATTTTAGTTGATAGTGTTTCAGGAAATCATTTCTAGATCCGCTATAAATTTCAAGTTTTTTTCGCTTAACTGAAAGATATTTGCACTTCAATATTTGTTCTCCTTTTCTTTTCCCCTCTTTATAGTGAAAAAAATAGATTTTTTTGATGCTATTATACTATGTGATGCATGTCTTATTCAAGAGAATAATTACACAACCATCACAATCAAACTAGATTTATGTATATGAACCACATCATACACTTAGGATCTTGTGTTTCCAATATATAATACCTTGGAAACAACCAAAAGTGATGTGTTTCTTGAGTGGTGATTGTTGCACTTCCCTCATTGTTCTTGACACACACTATTCCTCTCTAAAAATGGAGGATCACATAGAGACCATGGAGCACAATTACTTATCATCCATGGATGGAGCAAGCCTTCTCTTGGACTACTCCATGCCTATTCCAAGCTTTCCTTCTTCAGCATGCAACTGTTTTAGATTGGTCCTACATTGAATAGGTATCAATTTATTTGTCAATTAAACAATAAACTTTAAAAAAAGTCAATAATATGTGGAGGTCAAAATTACACTCTAGTATTTATTTTTTGTGGTAAGTAACTGAGTTCATGGTGAAGTTGATCAAAACTTCAAATGATATTAGGGTTCATCTATGTGGAAATAGTATTGTATTTTTTTTGTTATGAGATGGTATTTGAAGCTAACACTGTGCACAATCTCCTGCCTATCTCTAAAAGAAATTTTCTATTTAGGTAGTTCATTTTTGTTAGGAAATTTGCACTGTCAAAATTAGCTTTCTTTTAACATGCACCAAATTGTTGTGATATGAAAATTATACTTCAAAGATTAATTTTATGGGAAATAGTAATATGTTATATCAGGCTTCCACCAATGCAAATGTCAATGTATAAAGCTAATTATAATTCAAGATTGAGTGTGCATGCATACAAACTTATCATGCAAAGTAAAGATAATTTTGCCACATATAGGAATGGATGAATTAAAAACATTGTACTCCTAAATAGGAAGTCCTAATTGTCTTCACAATTCTTCAGACATCTTATAAAGCAGATAATCATAGATCAAGATAATTTTCTTTTTTTGGAAATGGATTTGGACCCTATCTAATCATTGTTGAAAATGATAATTCATGAGTCAGAGATATAAACTCGAGGTTACTATCATATATCTAAGAAATTTAAGATTTATATTGCATGTATTGAGTTTAAATCATAACTTAATTTTTGGATTCTATTAATATATAAAAAATAATATTATGGTATATAAACAAAAGAATGTAAAATTAGGGTTTGTTAGTCCACAAATGAAAGGAGAAGTTTTTAGACAAAAAGATTCTTATGTGCCATATAGAGATAGATTGCAGATAAGTCTTACATTATTAAGATATTAAAGATACTTACCATATATGTACATATAAAATAGGGTTGATATGCAGTATTGTTGCCTTGCCAAACTCTAAGCATGTGTTATTCTATTAAAGTGGATACCTCTAAGTTTTGGCAATGGATTCGAGCCATGCATACACAGAAAGAGTAACGTTATCTTGTGACTTAGTGTACAGTATCTCATTTCTCTTGATGCATAGATGCTGTTCAAGATTGACTTCTTTTCTTGGAGATGACTATCTCATCCTTCATCTGCTTGCTGATTGGAATTCCTTGTATTCTGTTCCCCTTAATAATCTCGGTAGTGTCACTTCACGACAATTCATAGATCATGAGATATATATGCTGCATAAGTTGATTGCATTAGAATTTGCTGCATAGTTCGTAGCCCAAAGTTTTCCTACCATCAAAGAGTTTACGTACAGAGGTGAGGAAGAAGCCTATCTCTTCATGCAGACATCTATCCACATGATTGTTGTGCACGCTTTTTCTCCATCTCAGTCATGTAATCGATATTAGTCGTGGATTTTAATGCTACTGTCTCGCACTACTTCATATCTTAGATTCGAATTCCAGAGTGCGTACGATTGTTTTGATTGCAGGAAGTGTGTACTTAGGAAAATGTTCAGCAAAGCTTCCACCGCAGGCAACCATGGGGAGCCAAACCCTAACCCTAATGAACGCAAAAGAAGGAAGACAAGACCGGCAGGGCGCCCAGGCATGCATACACTGCAGAACTCCCTTATCTTCTTCTTGTACTCGAGTGATATATGTGCTGTCAGTGGAGAATGTGGAGTTCGCTACCATGGATAACGAGAGAAGGTGTTGGTGGTGCAACAGATCCCGATGCAGAGGTGGTGGCGCTGCAGCCGGAGGATCTGCTGGCGACGGGCCGATACATCTGCGAGGTGTGCGGGAAGGGATTCCAGCGGGATCAGAACCTGCAGCTGCACATGCGCACCCACAACATCAACTGGGAGCTCAAGAAGAGCGGCGGCACGCCGGCGCGCCGCAAGGCCTACATCTGCCCCGTGCCAACCTGCGTCTACAATGACAGGTCCCGCGCCCTCAGCGACATCACCGGGATCAAGAAGCACTTCAACAGGAAGCACGGGACCAAGAATCTGATATGCCCTCAGTGCTCCAAGCCCTATGCCGTGGAGGCGGATCTCAAGGCCCACCTGAAGAACCACATCCTGCGCGACCATCAATGCGAGTGCGGCAGTACCTTCTCCAGGTGAGCATCAATGGCTACACCATTGATTCATCGGCCTATTAGTTATGAGCTCGTATTAGGACACACGAACACTTCGCATGCAGAAAGAACAGCTACGAGGCGCACCGGGCATTCTGCTGCAAGCTGTTAGAGGAGAGCATGAAGCTGCCTTCTTCGGTCGCCGGAGAGCCGAGCACCAGGGCCGATGTCGACGTCTTTGGCGGCAATTTTGAACTTCCCGACATGAACGAGCAACTGGTCTACACCAACATCGGGTTTACTTCTCCCCAGGAAGCTCCCCTGCGAGTTGAAGCCACGGCAGAGCAGCCGAACGCGGTCTTGAATGATGACCGGGATGCGCCATCAGCTGGGCAGCTGAATCGCTCCGTTGCCATGCTTCCCGATGACCCCGACTTCGTGGCATCTCTCCCAGTGTGCCTAACTCGTCTTCTGAAGTCTCGCTACGATGAGGTCTTGTGTATGTACTCTTCTTCCGGCACTTACGGAGGCATGGCTCAGGTGGCATCACCACCGCTCGCGGCCAATCACTCTTTCTCCAACGCATCTCTCGACGAATTAAGGGAGGAAAATGGTCTGAATGGGAAGTCCTCTACGTTTGATTTCTTCGGTGGGTCATCTTCTTCCTTCATGGATCATGGAGCTCCATCTACAGAGGAATCACAGGGACTAGGACCTCATCTTTCACTATCAAACGTCTGCGCCTATGGTAAGAGGGAACAGAACTCTGTGGCAGCCAACTCTACAGTCTACAATGATTTCCTTAGCTTATCTGAATCTCTCACTCTCTCAGCCTCATTCTTTGACGCAGGGAAGGAGAGCTACTACGCTGGCATCGATGAACCGATGCTTGCAAGCTTGGTTTGCATGAACTCCATTCACCAGCCACATCTAGCCAGTACCTTCACCGAGTCGTCGGCGACGGCGTTGCTGCAGAAGGCAGGGGTGATGAACGCAACCATGAGCATGCCCGCGTCCACATGCTTCCCCGGTCAGGCGATGAGCACGGAGAGTATACTCAACATGGAGCAATTTCAGATCCAGCAGGAGAAGAATTTTCCACCGGGCGACTCTTCGACGTCACATTTCCTGACTCTGACGCCGAATCACCAAACTGATCCGAGGAAGAGTAGCATCCACTCTTATCAGCAACAGGAGAATTGGATCAGCGACCCGAGCAGGAGCGCCTTCCAGCTTTACCAGCACGACAGGAGCACTGCGTCAAACAAACCTGCATCATCTTCCTTCTTCTGCGACGCGGTGAAAAGCATGGACTCCTACTCGAAGCTGAAAGACTTGCAGTGGAGCACACAGGAGAAGGCGCCCACCGACTTCACGGATTTCTTCACGAGTTCCACAGGCAAGAAGCCGACAGAGGAAGACGGCGGCGCCGGGAATGCAGTGCTGGGGTTTCCTGCTGCTGAGCCAATCATGGCACCCTATGCTTTGCCCTCCGAGACTGCGCCGGAAAACAGAGGAACAGAAACAGGATGGAACCGGCGAGTGGAAGCGGTGGCTCCACCGCCATCGTCGTCGATGAACCAGAACGGCGATGGCGTGACCATGGATCTCCTGGGAATGGGAGGAGAAGGGGCGGAGGCCGGAGGATACAGCGAGGACCAGATGGGCTTCTTCTTCGGCAACGGTGGCTGTTTCTGGTGAGTTCAGATCAGGAGCTATCAGTATTTACTTGGTCATTTTAAGAGACTCGGTGAGAAATGCAGACTATATCATAGAAACCTGGAAAAGACGTAAGCATTTGACTTCCATGTACTATGGATAGATCCAATTTGTGTGCTTCGCTGTGGTGTATTGTGCGTTTGTGGCTCTGTGAGTATGAACTGAAGCTCGAAGCTGTGGGAGCAACCATGGAGGTGTGACACCAAACATGCATGGAGCTGTAGCAACGAGAAAGATGACAGTGGAGACTTTTGCAATGCTCGACATCGATAAGCAGTTCTAACAACATACTCTTTTGCTTAATCTGTTTTGTAGGTAGAATAAGTTCTCAGTTTTAGATGGAATCAACTGATGCATGGGAAACATATACTTTCCTCTAATGAATTTTTATTTGCTCCTTCAAATTTTAGTTTATCATATATATCCTGCTGTCATGGGAAATCATCGTTGATAGTCATCCCAACGACATAGGAGTGTCCGATACGATGATTGAGGTGACTCCGAGATAGCTATAAGGTGGAAGTGTCGAGCTCCCAATATGTCCTCTACACTAAGAACAATGCTAGGAAAAAATTTTCGATCCGATCCTTTCGATTCCCAAGTTAGTAATCAAGATCTCTTAGTGGATGTCGATTTTTTTTTTTAAAGAGCTTTCCGACGTAATGTCAGGAGTCAACTTTTATACCTGATCTTAGAGGGAATAACTTGTAGTTACTCTAACATCCCCCTCTTGATGTTTTTTTTCATGTGGGTGGCCGAGAGGAGATGATCCTAAACGATCTACCTTGAACTTTTGACCATGCGAACAGATGGGTAGAAAATAACTTAGATATTTTCCTTCCATAATAACTTCCATAGGACGTTTATATGTCAAATGATGATTTATCGTTAATATATTTCATGTCTTAAGAAACTTTAAAATTCACATACATGTATAACTGGATAGTATAATAAAATTGAAATTCTAATTAATATTGACATCACTATGGGATACACATCTAGTGGGTTGAAGGGTGAAAATATTAAGAATGCTTGAGGTGTTTGAGTTTTAATTTAAATTCGCATCAATAACTATTATTGGTGATGATTAACCAACCAGAATAACATGAGACATGTATGTGCTATACTAAATTTTGTAGGGGTAGATGCACAGAGAGACATGTAACAACCCTAAAAAAGTATATTAAATGGAAAAGGTCTAATATATTCTGTGGTGCCTAAAGTAATGGGCTTGCAATTTCCTAAGTTGTATGTTTGGCAATGGCATAATTATATCAATGCATTTACTGGTTGATTTCATTACGCTTTAGTATTCTAACATCACACGAAATTAATTAATTTTTTCCACAGCCTCCAAAAAAAGAAAATTGTAAATGATGAGTGAAGAAGAAAGAGTTGGGCAGTATCATAACTTGTGAGGGAAATGTTTTGATGAAGATGCATGTGAGAAGGGCCACCTCAAACCTGAAACAATCTATTGCATGTGACTCCCACTTTCTCTCTCTAACTTCTTTGGGGGGCATTTTACAGCACACTCTTGAGTGAAAAAGACTACCTAACATGAACTTTAAGGAAAAAGGCGCTTATCACACAATCTATATGGGATCCCTCTCCTGAATTATTTGCTCACTTTTCTGTGCCTTTTGACAGATCAATTCTGCCCCATTGGTTGCCATGTCTCTTGCATTCATTGTTCTGCTACCTGTCTCTGAATATGCCTCACAAACAATAATGAAAGAACAGAATATCTTCTGACCAAGCATTCCAAGAGAATACAAATATAATGAAGGCTTGCTTACATATGATAGTTAGATCAAGACAAAGAATGCACACATAAGAAAAGAACCTATGAATTCCTTGAGTACCTGAAGTCACATGGTAAAGAACCATCTTAAAGAGAGCAGCACATCAGCAATCTTATTGGATGATCTTTATCTTAGGAAGGTATCTTCTCTCTGTAACATACAAAATAGAATCTTATTAGAAGTTGCAGTGAACATTTTTCACTAACATGCAACATCAACATATCAATATATATATATGTCTGTGATTTCAAGAAAGTACTAATATCAACATAAAGCAGAAAGGGGAATAGTAGCTTAATAGCATCACTCTCTTTCTTCACTAATGGTTTTGGACAACTATCATTGCATGCTAGCTTTCTGAGGAAGAATCACAGCAGTGATGTTACTGTCATACATCAAACATTTGCGACCATATTGAGCAAACTAGCTGGAGAGTCTCATTGAGTTTGGTGTAGGACACAATCCCACGACCCACCACATTCTCTCTCCTCCCTCCACCACCAGCATAAAACCCCCCCTTCCAAAGCTCCATGCAGCAATGCACAAGGAAAGAAGTCATAACAGTCCATACCCTATCTTCCTGAAGCGAAAAGAGGCAACTGAAACCATGCAACACTTCACTTGTGCCATTACCCTCCTCTTTCTTGTCCAATTCATTGTTGTAACTTCAGCTCAGCTGGCAGAATCTCCAGCTCCAGCAGGCCCACCCAACATCACAGCCGTTCTTGAGAAAGCAGGGGAGTTCGGAACCTTCATCCGCCTGCTCAAAAGCACCCATGTTGGCGACCAAATAAACAACCAGCTGAACAACTCCGTCAACGGCATCACCATATTTGCGCCCACCGATAGTGCTTTCTCCAGCCTCCCCTCTGGCACAATGAACTCCCTCACCGATCAGCAACAGGTTGCGCTAATCCAATTCCATGAACTGCCTTACATCGTCTCGATCTCTCAGTTCCAAACAATAAGCAACCCTGTAAGAACACAGGCGGGTGATGTTAACAATGGTAGGTACCCATTGAACGTGACAACCATTGGAAACTCAGTGAACATAACAACAGGAATTGTCAATACCTCCATCGCCAGCACGGTATACTCGGATAGCCAGCTAGCTGTGTACAAGCTTGATCAGGTACTCCTTCCTTTAGAAATCTTTGGACCCCCAGCTCCTGCTGCTGCACCTGCACCGAACAAATCAAAAAAGAAGGAAAGCTCCATTGCTGAAAGCCCTTCAGGCACTTCAGATTCTAGTGGAGCCACTGCTGCAGTGAACTTAAAATGCACGTATGAGGGAGGTATTGTATTTGCAGCTGCAGTTATTTCCCTCTGGTGGATCTATTGAGTACTACTGCATCTTCCCAATATTTTGATGATTTAAGCTGTTTAGGTAAATGTGGAAGATTGTACTTTTTTCTTTTATAGTTTGGTGTCCCTTGCTTATTTCTTTTCCCTTCTTTTCTTTTGCTTTATCTTTGTCATGGATTTGAATTTTTATTTTACCAAATATCTTTAATGTGGATTGTAATCTTGTGATTCATTTTATTATATTTGACTTAAAACTATAGGTATATATGAATCTGCTCAACCTAAGAAATTCAACAATGTATGCCTAGAACTGTTAAACAAAGATCAGGTTTTGAAGAACATATTTCTACTAAAATTTCATATCGACAAAATTTTAGCTGTAGAAAATGAATTTCTGGTATATAATCAAGAATCTTCAAGACCTTTTCATTAACCTAGTCAATAATGTAGCTACGAAATTGTAACTAGATCTTTAACTTTGATGTAGGTAACAAGAGTTAGAAACCATTAAAACAATTCTCATGATTCTGCAAGTGGAAATAAGGAAAACAAAAATTAGATACAATGGAATTGGTATAGTCCTTAGTCTTCTTTCTCCTAGCTACAAAGTGCAACCTTCATCCAACCACTTAATTCATCATCTCCAAACACCGAGATCTTGTTTGATAAGCAAAGAGACATTGGCCAAAGAAAGTAAATGCAAAGTTGCGAATGTTACCAAGATAAGAAAACACCATAACTTACCTAGTTAGCTGGTGAAACATCACAAACCAATGGCCTAAAGTTGGGATGCTTCTTTCTCCCACCAATTCCCCTCGTAATCATTAGATTATTTCCAAAGAAAACTCATGCAAGATGAACCTAACAAATGAAACCCTCCACCTCATCTTGATCTAACAATGTAACTACTAACCTCAAGCTCTGTTTTGACAAACAAAATGATATCCAGTTTCATCGGATTTAGAATATCACAAAGCTCACATGTCAAAATGTTACCAAGATCATGGCTCAGGGAGTCAAGACTATGTTCCCACAAGATGCAAACTCTAAGATGAATACTACACAGGAGAAATCACTCACAAATAGAGAAACGAGCAAGTGTTCTGATTACACCAAGAATTTTCATTCATAACCAACTTAATTCACATAATGAAAATGTATCTAAACCCACCATTACTCAACAGCAAACAAATTTCTGTGTATTTAAGACTCTGAGACAAAACTACAAACAGATCAAAGACAACTTTCCTGGTCCAAACATCCTTTACAAGTGCATCTGATATTCTAGCATCAAGAAGCATATGTGACGTCGACTTGTCCATGGACATCAGGAAGAGAGAGGAATACCTGACTCGTCAGATGAAGATGCCGGCTGCAGAGCCCTAATCTTGATAGCGTATTTCTTCCACGCAACCTCTCGTTTCCGGAGACAGAGTCGGAGCCATCAGACCCAGCCGATGAGGCGGTACCGTCTTCTTATCCGACGCCAACGAAGTTCCGGCATTTCCGGAAGAATAATTTGGTCCTCCTCCTCAACAATCCCCACGACTGCGTCCCGATCGGTGAAGCTCCGATTCAGGGCGTACCCACAAGAGCCACAGCTGTATCAAAGCAACACAAAGGCGACAGCTTTATCAGTAAAACTCACGATTTCTATCCAGAAGTCCCCGAATCCAATGATTTGGGGGTCGGCACAAACCAGTAGGTGACGGATCGGGGAGAGGCGAGGGACTCGGCTGCGGTTGGGTTGTTAGAAATCGCCTTGGGAAGCCATCGGTGGATGATGTTCGGGATGTTGGAGTCGATGAGATGACGACGGCAAAGACCGCGTTCCGCTGTTTATAGGACGGGAGGGGCGACGGGCGGCGCGGGAATAACCGACCCGGATTTGTTTATGAGGATGAGCGGCTGATCCCCGAGAAATGCACGGTGGTGATGAGCTTTATGATTCGTGTGGTAGGGATTGACCACCGGGTTGATTTTGGATTTATTTCGTTGACTTGATTATAATTATTAGGGTGGGAGTGATTGGTCTACGTGGAGGTTAAGACGCGTGGCACTTGGTCAGTGGTTGTGGATAATCAATTTTGGCAATTATTATTTTCTTGCATTAAAAAACCCATATTGATTAGTTTTAACATGGGATTCCCTTTTTCAAAATATACTGAGAGCTCTTAGGCAACTCTAAGACAGATATCCAAAATACTCATGAACTTAAATATTTAATAATAAGATAATAAAATCAATAGAGATATCATTTATTAGAAATAAGAATAATAAGATGATGCTTAGATCTATCTTAAGCCATGATCAATGGATTTTTTGATTCGTTCACTCCAATACTTTGGTTTTGATTGAATAATATAAATTTTATAAAAAATAATTAATCTTAATTACTATAAAAATAACTTTTGATATTAAAAAATAAAAAAATAAATATTTCATGGTTTGAGTTAGGTTGAATAAATTTTATAGTATTACATTACAAATAAGATATGTTACGCTCGATTATAAATTAATATGAAAAATATACAAAATAAACTTTTGAAACCCCAAAAATAAATAAAAATGAGATCATTCTGCATGGTGAGTTGGACAACTTTACAGTGAACACTTATATATAAACTTTATTACATTCGATTGTGTAATGCAGCATAGTTTCATCTTGATTCCACAAATGTGTAGTATGGTATATTTTGACGGTTCACCGCTGACATCACATGCCAAATCGGAGCCCTATGCCACCTGTCCCATCTCGGGAGCTCGTACTAAGAAGATATGTCACACGTCTTGGCCGAGAAGCTCGGGGCGATATCGTATGACGTCGCTCTGTATGTCTCGGAATGATGACTGGTCATAAGGGCAATCCCATCAGCCCTCATGCCACAGTATAAAACCCATAGCTGGCCTTCGGTTAGGGGGAGGCAACAAAAAAGAAGGAAAAAAGTAATCTCTCTCGTTACTAATTTGCTCGTCGGAGGGGTCACGGTTGGGTATCACCCAACAGAGGTTATTTTTACGGGAGGGCGACCACTCATCGACGGTGAGGGACTTGGCACGGAAGCGCGATCCGCCCAGCACCAAGGAGTCGCCAATCAGCCCCGATCTCGACTAATGCCAACCAGCACTCCTTCTCGAGAGCTCGGGTACCTCATCATCCGAATCACCCCGTAGAAAACTCCCGACATCGACCCGTGGACCTAGACTCACCAGCCATGACATATATGTTGTCTAATAATACTGTTCATTTATTAATATAAAATCATAAAATTTATTCAACACACTTCGATCTTTCGACATGATAAGCAAATATGATGTACATAGTGATTCAATTAGTTTTATTTTACTTTTATTTTTAGGTGATTTAAGAAGGTTTTTAAGTCAAATTTGATATATCCTCGAATTATTATGCAATCAAATATACTTCATCTATAAGAATAATACCATAAGTTTGTCCAACTCACCTCAATCTTTCTTACGTAGCTGCTGTTAAGGTATCAACCACGCGTTGCTAAAGTGGTAAGAGATCGTCTAAGTGCGAGTCTACCCATGTCAACGAACGAGTCACACTAACTTGTAATGGTGATTTCGACGAGTTGCTTGTGTGACCGAGCTGAGGTTTGTCCAGACTCAGCCAAGCTGCCACCTCAAACTCACGCTCACGGCGAGTCATTCACGACACGCCCACTCCTGGCTCTGCTGCAGGGCGAGGCGCCGTTCACGTGACGGCGTCGCCACCCCCCCTTCTCCGTGCCTCGCCAAACCCAGCACCCACGGCCCCGCTACCGGCGACGAGGACAGCAGCGGTCGGTGCGTGCCTCCAGCGGCGGGGTTCAATGCGTCTTCTTCCTTCGCGCGCGCACGTGAGATCCACGGATCCCAGGCGACGCCATCCGATCACCGCCCGCTCACTAACTCTATCTTCTTCGAAGCCTCTCTCTGAGTTGGACCGAGTCTAGAAGTAGCCGTGACGCCCTTCGCGTCTTTGACCCAATGCTCGTTGGTCTGACCGTTGACGAGGTCAGCAAGTGCCAGTCGTAGGAAATGGTAGCTCGGAGAAGTCCTCGGTTCGTCTCACGCTCTCGTGGCTTCACACCAACATTAAGATCAAACACCATCGTTAACTAGAATAGATGACGATAAATTATACCGTAATATGGTGGACATAATAAGTAGATGTACCTTAGTCGATGTCAGTTTCCGAGATGTATTAATGATCGAGACCTGATGAATTAAGTGCTGCAGTAAAAGCGCGGATGCATCTGCATATGCCTCCCACCGTTTCCCCATTCGTACTAAAATACACATACTTTTTATTAATATGAAAAAAAACCTCTTTCTATTGAAAAGAAAAGCCATGAATATTATTTTTATTATTTGGGATTTTCTTTTAATTTTTACTCGGTCGTTCTTCTTCTCGAAAGAAGGAAAACGGAAACGAAGAAAAGAGCCCCCCATTCGGAATTGTCCAAAAAGCACTCCCCCACCCAATCCGCGTTTCCCTCTTATTGTCTTAAAGCACACCACAATGGCTGCGGTCGCCGATCCCACTGTGCGCAGGTTTATTCGCTCTTCCTTGCGCGCCTCTCCTCGCTTGGCTATCGATGCGGGAGAGAGGAGGCATCCCCGACCAGTAGCCCCCCACCCGCCCCCCGCGCCGCCGCCGACCGATGAGGCTTCGTCTCGCTGCTGCGGTGGCGGTGACCGCGATGCTGGCCGTCCTCCTCGCTCCCGCCCGAGCAACCGGCTCCGCCTCCACCATCGCCATCGCCCACGGCACCGACATCGTCTGCGGCATCGTCGCCCGAACCTCCCCCAGGAGCGTCCAGTGTGCCCGGGCTGGCGTCGCCGACGCTCAACCCTTCCCCCTCCTGCCGAACATCTCCTTCAGTTCCATCTCCGGCGGCCGCAGCTCCCTCTGCGGCCTGAGTGCCGACGGAACCGCCTTTTTCTGCTGGAACGCCGCGAACTCCTCCTCTGGCACGCTCCCCAGGAAGCGCGTCTACAACGGCCCCGTTGCCCTCGAGGAACTCGCCGTCGGCGAAGCCCAGATTGCGGCCGTCGACCGCAACCGCACGTTCGTCCAGTGGTGGCGCCAGTACAGGGGCTTCCCTTCCAATGTCTCCGGCTCCTACAGTTCCGTCACCTCTGGTCGGGACTTCACCTGCGCCGTTAACGCTAGTGGCTCGGTCAACTGTTGGGGGCCGGGCAACCGCACGATCCAGGACGCCTTCGCCAGCGCCAACATGTCGACCATCGTCGCTGGGGACTCCCACGTCTGCGGTATCGATGTCGGCGGCAGCCTCATTTGCGTTGGCAACAACGACACCGGCCAAGCGACCCCGCCCATGGGCTCCGCGTTCGAGTTCGGAAGCCTCGCGCTGGGTTCGAACCACACTTGCGCCATCAGGCGAGCCAACGGCACGGTGGTCTGCTGGGGCGGGGGCACCGGCGGCGAGTACACGCCGACGAATAGTACGCCGTTCGAGTTCATCGTCGCCGCTGGCAATCTCACCTGCGGCCTAACGACGGCGAACTTTAACGTGCTTTGTTGGGGGACGGACAGGAAAGACCCGGCGGTGACTAAGCTTCAGTTGCCGACGCTTCTTCCGGGGGTTTGCACTTCCAGTCAAAGCTCTTGTGGTTGCGGGCTGTTCGCCGATTCCGAGACCCTGTGTTCGGGTTCTGGAGTTATATGCCAGCGATGTGGTGTTGGAGTCGTGCAACCAAGCCCACGCCCGCCGTCACCGTCATCGGCACCTTCGACGCCACCATCGGCCACTTCATCGACGAAAACTAACAAGAGGTGGCTGGCCTTCGCCATCATTGGGTCAGTCGGAACATTTTCCGGCGTTTGCTCCATCGTCTACTGCGTATGGATTGGTGTTTGCAAGCGCAAGAAGGTGCACAATTCCGTTCAACCAACGATTACGGCAGCTGGGAATGGAGGATCTCATGCTGCTCATTCGTCTGCTACGGGTGCCGGATCGATCGTCCCGAGCCCCTTTACGTCCCCTTCTGGGTCGCGGTCCCGAATTTTCCGGCGACAAGGCTCGCGGGTCATGCGGCGGCAGAGAAGCGGCCCGTCCTCGTTCAAGGACCGCGCCGAGGAGTTCAGCCTCTCGGAGCTTGCCGCCGCCACCAAAAATTTCTCCTTGGAGACCAAAATCGGGGCCGGGAGCTTCGGAACGGTGTACAAGGGGAAACTTCCCGATGGGCGGGAGGTGGCGATCAAGAGAAGCGAGACAGGGCCGAGGGCGAAGAAGTTCCAGGAAAAGGAGAGCGCTTTCCAATCGGAGCTGGCTTTCCTCTCTCGGCTCCACCACAAACACTTGGTCGGCCTGGTGGGCTACTGCGAGGAGAAGGAAGAGAGGCTCCTTGTCTACGATTACATGAAGAACGGAGCTCTGTATGACCATCTACACCCTAAGAACGGCGAGGAATCGAGCGTCTTGAATTCATGGAAGATGCGAGTCAAGGTGCTGCTGGATGCAGCGAGAGGGATCGAGTATCTCCACAACTATGCGGTGCCCCCGATCATCCATCGCGACATCAAGTCCTCCAACATATTGCTCGACGGGAATTGGGTCGCCCGGGTGTCGGACTTCGGGCTGTCGCTAATGGGACCGGAGTCGGAGGGGGAGCATCTGTCGGCGAGGGCGGCGGGAACGATCGGGTACATGGACCCCGAGTACTACGGGATGCACCACCTGACGGTGAAGAGCGACGTTTACGGACTCGGAGTGGTGATGCTCGAGGCGCTCACCGGAAAAAATGCAATCTTTAAGGACGAGGACGGGAATCCGACCAGCGTCGTCGACTATGCGGTGCCCTGCGTCGTGGCAGGCGAGGTCGGCAAGGTGCTCGACGCAAGAGTGGGGCAGCCAGGCTTGCACGAAGCCGAGGCGGTGGAGCTGGTGGCCTACACCGCCGTGCATTGCGTCAACCTCGAGGGGAAGGATCGACCAAGCATGACCGACATCGTCGCCAACCTCGAGAGCGCGCTCGCACTCTGCGAGGAGAGCCATGGGAGCATCTCCAGTGCAAGCATGTCCTTTGCATCGGCAGACTGACGTGATATATCGCACATTGATTGATACCTTGTTCATCGATGTTTGTAAATGGATTCTTCCAACTTCTTTGCTCGGAATCGTAGTCCAATCTCAATTAACATTGAAAGCTGAGACACACCGGAAGAGGATTCCGACACCTGTTTGATGAATTGACGCACGTCTCTTTCGATTCCAAGCATCGTTCGTCGATTACCGCGACGACGAGTCAAGTTCTCGGCTTGTGCTGGACTTTTCGGGTCAACGGATGCGACGTACATGCTGAAGCCATCAAAACGGAGACGAAGACGGAGTCTAATTGGCACGGTGGAGGGATTGGGGTCCTCAATCTCGTGTAAGGGGATGGAATTGGCACACAAGTCAACCGAAGCAGGTGGGTTGCTGCTGGCGATTTCAAATGCCTTTGGTGGATGACATGAATTTGGCGAGTAAAAATGGCAGCCGACAGTCGAGAATTGGAGGATCTGCTGATAGCATAGCAACTGATAAAGAAACATGAACCCTGCAGAATTCAAGTCTTTGTGGCCTTTGACAAATGAGATCATATCGAGTTGAATCAACTCGAGGTTCAAACCAATCTGTCAGGTATTAGCACATCCAAGAAGAAGATCCTCCCTGGAAGCTTGGATTTAATTGCATAATCCAGTGAAATTTAGGTTACGATGGGAAACACAAGCTTCTTCATCTCAAGGCTGCACCATGACGTAGTTCGTCAAGCGTCTTCAGACATGGCTCGAGGGGTAGCGGGTAAACCTTCCTTCTGACTTTGCTGCTACTTTTCTGCAGCGAGATTGCGTGCTGTCTGTGGGGTCCCGTGGAGTGCTAAGAATCATCTGCTTTTTTCCTTCTGCATCATTCTTACCTAGAGCGCGACTGGTGCTCGATGTATTGCGTCAATGAAAGCTTCCGTTGTTTATATTTCTCGTGGCTGCGCTCGGTGGGTCGCATGTCCTCTCATTCCTCGCCATCCACCGGTGGTAGCTGGGATTTGTAGGTGGCCGACCTCAGGCGGCTCATGAAACTTCATTGGAGGTCGATGATTTATTCTACTACGTAGGCACTCCAATTGATAGCGAAAATATTTACTCCAATCAAAGGACTTGACATGTGCCAATTAAGTCTGGATTCTATCCACTATAAAATAATTTATCGGATCATAAAAATTAAAATTATTAGTCATTCATTAAGATTACTTCACCTTTATCAATTAATTAATAATTTAAACATTGGAAGGATGGGATCGAAAAATCGATCTAATCTTGATCTTCATGTAGGTCAACTATAGAGAGTACAAGCTTATCTTAACTCTCGAGCAAACGTTCGAATTTTCTTTTTCGCATAAGACCTCTTATGCATATAGAGTCGAATTGATTTAAACATCATTAACATTTTTTCTATTACCAATAAATGGAATAATTTAGCAACACAAGATTCATTTTTTAATCCATTGTTTGAAAATAATATTCCTTATAAATTTTTATATGGCATGTGTAGACGAATATCTTTTCTAATTTTATTATATCGAAAATAAATACTTCAATATCAAAATGGAGTATTATCTCTCCAATGGTCTGAATACAGAAAATCTGGAGTATAATACAAAAAAGTTAATCTCTCTCTCTCTCTCTCTCTCTCTCTCTCCCCCCTTTATTTTGTTTCCTTGAAAACTTGTGATGGGGGATATACAAAATTTCCATTTCCAAGGTGTTGTACATCATGTGATAAATGAATTTGGGCTGTGAGTTGATTGTAACCTGTCCATTGTAACACGAAACAACTTCTTTTCTTTGAGTTGAGATTCAAATCAAACAGTAACTATAATAGATTAAAAAAAAAATCATAAATCATAAATTGGAGATCAAAGTACCTTAATATTTTCCTTCATCTAGCTGAGATCTATTGGGACATGGAGATGGAACACATGGAAATCTCAACAGATTCATAACTCATGCATGAGAATGAATGAGGACTTGAATAATTCCTTAAACTGTTTACAACTTGTCTTCTACATCTTAAACTTCTTTTCATAAGCATCACAAATTGCTCCCACATCACCTGATTTATTAAAATCCAGGAGATCATGGTCAATGAAATGATACAGCCATGCATCATCAATATACCACAAGCCCATTCGAAACAATGTGTACATTTCCAACAACAAATGTCATGAATGTACAATACAACGTTAATTACACTGCAATTTTCCCTAAGCAAACTATGCCAAAAATTCTATTTCGACAGCAGTAGCAAGCCGGAGAATTTTCTGTTAAAATGGCAGATAATACACAGTTGAATTCTAAAAATTCTCCTTGTATGTCGCACACCAATTTTTGATGCTCAGCAGATTTGTTGCATCGTATCCGCAAGTAAGAGCAGTCACTCTCCAAAACGATTTGGTAGGTGATACAAATTGAGGTTCTGTTAGGGTGGATTTATGGTGAACAAAATACACTGCAATTCATGTGCACTGGTAACAAGAGCTTGGAAGAACTGTTGGCACCTCACTCAGTGTCCAGCATTTGGTGGGAATTCCTTGCTGTTCAAACCATTCACGCATATGAAACTTCTCATTCAGTATGGGCCTGACATCCTTGTGGAGGGAAAGGTGTTTTAGAAGTGGAAGAATAACTCCCATAAGCTGAGAACAAAAATTATGCTTTAGAAAATGATTACTTGTTAAGAAATTGAACTATATATGGATATACGGTTGCAAAAGTGCTAAATAACCCAACAAGAAAGCAGAATGTCCTATTACCTGATCATCACAGGGCTGAGCAGCAAAGAATGGCATGCATGGTATTCCATTTAATGGCTGCAGCAAGAAACTAAATGGATTGTTGTCAACAATGACGATGCGGGAGAGATGTTGCGACACACAAGAAAGATCTTTGACATGTTCCCGATATTTCCTGTTCAAAGAATGCACATATATTTATTACAATGTAAACCCCTATTTCATTGTAACACACAATGCTAATATCAGCAAGGAATTAGAGACGAGGAATTTCACAGAAACTATTGTAAACATAATATAAATGTACGCATGCATGAATGTAGACAAAGTAGACCTCGCATAAAACAGCCATTCTTTTAAAATGTTACTAGGGAAGAGATACAACAGAAAGTTCTAGATAGATTACAGTTGACACTAAGACAATACAAAACAAAAAGGGACGATTGTTAAAACAAGGATCAGTTTATGTTTGCAAGAAAACCTTAACAAAAGTTTAGTTTATGCAAAATCGAACATTTTCATCTGAGCATGCACTTAATGGAACTTAATCACTGGTGGAAAGCTACATCTTCCTTCCAACAAAAAGACAAACTCTTGTATGTTTCAAGGAAACCACAGTTGTTCCCTGCATCATATATCAGTTTGCTTGACATGAAAGTAATAGGAACAGTGAAAACTCAGATACCTTGCATACAGAGCAAACTACTTGTGAGAAGGTATAGAGGCCATGACCAACAACACTTGCAACATAGTCACAAACAATTGCTCAAATTCGAAAAAGCATGAAATTTAGCAGAATCTACATGAATCACAACTTGGACGTTCAAGAACTCTGTGACAATGAAAGCACTGACAGCTGCAGAGTGGTATATACTTGTGTTGTCACTTTGTAAAATAAAACATCATAACTGAAATAAAGATTATTGAAGTCATAATAATTATAACTTTTACTCACGTGCTCACAGTTGCAGGCCTGTATAGACGATGAGTTAATTTGTTGTCGATATCTATTCTATCAATAACTGGCCTAGCATAACCTGAAACAGAAGAAAGCATAAAATAACTAAATACGGAAAAACAAGGAAAACATAGAAAGAGAGCTAGCACCAAAGGAACAGTTCATTAGAGGTAAATAACCACAACCTTCAAGGCCTGCAGTGAAAAGAACAAGGTCTGCAAATTCACTGCTCTGTTTTAGGAATTCCCGCAAACCAGGACGTTCAAAAACAGTGACATGATTCACCTTTTGGCTTCCATCAGCATCCTTCAAGAGCACGAGTCTGAATAAGTAGCCTTTGAAGCTTAAGGACTATGTATAATTTACCCGATTATAAGCGACCAACCTGTTCTGAAGATACACATTCAAGGTCAAAGCACTCTAAACCTGCTTCAACAGCCTGTGCACGAACTGTAGATGACAAACTAGATGTCTCGTATGCACAAATCAATGTCTCGTCCAAGTCGAGCACAACCTGCAAATTTGGTAAACTTATGTTAAACAAAGCAGTCCCAATAAAACAATAAACAAATTCTCCTTAAGAAAATAATATCATCCAAGAACAATGTCTTGAAAACCATGGTTTTTAGTGGCAGCTTTTGTGTGAATATTATTGAAATATTAAACAAAAGGCATTTACTAGTAAGTATCACATGGACTCTCTCATTCACCTACAAGACTTCATCTTGGTTTATGCCCGTGAGTTCACTACATATTATCGATTCAAACTTCCAAAGCCTCATTATCAATTAGCTCAAGCATGCCTAAATTAGGCATACATCATTGTAGACCCATTTAAAGCTTCAATTAGCATATCCAAACCCTAATCACATATACTAGCTTACTTGGACCAATTTGCAGATTTGGACCGTGGACGGAGGCTAAGAGTAGAAGAAGGTTTTGCAAGTCCAATGATATATGTAGGTACTTCTCTCCTGACATCAAGACTAAGAATATTAGTGACCAATCTACATTATTTCCTCCCTAATGTTCATTCTACGAACAAAAAATAATGCAGAATGACAAACAATTTCCATGACTTGGGAAAATTAACAGCCAGTTGTATCAAGAGATGGATGATCTGTGATTCACACATTGAAAGATGGGGGAACGAGCTAAGCACTCTATTTAGATTTCATTAACTTATCCGTTCATCGCAGTCTTGCTTAGACCTTAACCTAGGAAATCCTTCGTCATTAAGTACACATTTAGCACACCTCTTTCTTTGATTTCCAGTTTTCATTCGTCAATTTCCTTTTATCCAAGATAATCAGCTTTGCCAAGAAAAAACGTGAGGATAGCAATCATTAGGAAAAATTGATCAATCGTCAACCAAGTGTGGCTGCTGAGCAATGAATTCTAACCAAATCGAAGTCAGGGATCTTGGTTTGCCCAGACCACCATGAGATACCCATGCAATTAGGAGTCAAACACGAAGAACACAACCTTGTCTTCTACGCAATCTCAAGCCAAATTTGAATCGATGAGAAATCTCCTAAAAGCAACTAAAAAGATCGATTTTTTGAGCAAATCAGTCACAGCCCAGATTCCAGATCAGGAAGAAAGACGTACCGTGAGCTTCCCGAGGGGTTCTGACGCGGGGGCGGTATGGTTCGGCAAGGCGTCGGCGGGGGGAGCGACGGAGAGCAGCTTGTAGCCTGCGGACGGGGAGGAGAAGAAGGGGTGGCGAAGGCCGACGGAGGAGAGGAGCTGCGCCCACGAGGGGGTCCCCCGCAGGATCTGGAGCAAGAGCCGGAACAGGATCGCCACCCGGCACACCAGCGCCCTCCACGCCTGGACGCTCTTGGTCGTCGCGTCCGCCGCGGCAGTGGCGGCCCCCGGCGAGTACGACCCCTCCTGGGCCAGCTCGGCCATGTCTGCAGCGGCAGCGACGCACACGTCTCGCCTTCCGGCTGGTCTGCCGGGGACGCGGCAGGTCCGGCGAGCGAGTCGGTGCGACGGCGGCCGGCGCGGGGTAAAGCGAGAGGCGGATCTCGTGCGGGCGGGCAGGCAGGCAGGCGAGCGCCCGACGAATAAATGTGCGGGAGCGGGCTTCAGTTGGTCGCGGTCATCGACGTCGATAGTTGCGGCGGCCACCGACGCCACGTTGACCTTTACGATCCGTGAGATGCGGGCTGTGAGAAATGATTTTGGAGTCTCTTTCTTCTTTCCTTCTCTTTTTTTTTCTTTTCATTAATTATTCTGACCCAAAAAATAAAATAAAAAATACGTATTCTGACCATGAAAAGATATATATATATATATATACATGTATATATATAGATATACATATATATATATATATGTATATATATATATACATATATACATATACATATATATATACATATACATATATATATATATATACATATATATGTGTGTGTATAAAGAAATAAATAAATAAATAAAAGGAGTGATTCCTTTCGGGTCTATGCACTCTTCCATGTCTTCTGTTTTGGATTCTTGCAAGGGAAGAGAACAATGATGTGTTTCTTAGCAATGTGGAGATGAACATTATGTATGGAGATTGACAGATGAGAGTGTGAGAGTAGCTCACAAACTGGACATTAGAGATCAAACCTCAGGGCATAATGGAATACAGTTCATCATATGATCACTTCATCTTGTTGACAAGGTTGGGTTGGATTGCCAAACTATGACATTAATTTCATTTCTGAAGCTTTTTTTGCAAGCCAATAATTAAAAAGACAAGGGAAAAAGACGAATTTTAAGGATCCAACATTTCATTTAGAACATTAATTAACATCGAATAAATGATTAAATATACCAAGTTAACATCAAACAAAATTTATATAGCACAACAAGTTGTAATCCTGACGGTGCCAAGAGAATCCACAGAAGATTTAATTATGTGGAAATCCGCTACATGAAGCCGACTTTTCATTTACATCAGAGTCGCAGAAGATGAATGGAGAATCACATATGAAGGGAAGAGAGAACAGTTTTCTGATACGGATGACCTGAATGGCTCTTGAGAATAGCATGGCTTCATAATGTATACAACAGCAAAGATTTTTCATTAGCATGTAGACCATGGTTCCATCTCGTGCATGTATGCGTCGGTATCGCCTGCAAAATACCACCATTCCTTATCAAAAGAAAATAAAACTCCCATGAAGCTTTTTCCTAAGTAAATGGAACTAATCTATCTTGTTAAGAAAAATTAGCTGCAGAAGAAGATAAGAATGACGGCAATTGGAGAAGCCGAGTATTAGAGCTGATATACCTGTTCTCGAGAAAAAAAAAAAAAGACATGTCGCGAGTTGCATCCACCCATCCTGCAGGCTACATAAAAGACGACATGGCCTGATGTAAATTCAAGTATTTATAGCCGTTGAGAACTACAAATATCTTTCTGCAAAGACAACATGATAGAATTATAATGGTAGTGTGAAGTACAACATCGATAACAGAGACTACAACTAGAATCATAAAGTTCATCGACGTCATGTCTTCCATGGAAATCGAACAACAGTGAATGTGCAAAGCTTCATGTCTTTCATGGAAAATGTACAATAGTGAATGTGCAAAGCTTCATTGATGGCAAATCATGTGCTCCTTGACTTCACACCTCTCGAACATTGACGTTAACTAACTTCCGACATAGTTCGACATGACATTTCTGATCGCCTGTGAATATGAAATACTTAAAGACACTTGAACAAAATATTCACAATATGAAGGCCACAAGAAACATCAAAATTTTCTAACCTGTTCGTGGCTTACAAAAAGCAAACTTTGAAACTTCACATTGAATGATACTGAGAAGGCCATAAACAAAATGCCGATTGGTAATCGGAATGTCCTAGTGATCATGCATAATACTGGATCATTGAAAAGGTTGACCACTCCCGCCAACTGAAAAAATAGGTTGACCACTCCCATCCAGTGGGTCAGAAATGTTAAAGTTTTGCCTAAACTGTTCGACGAAATCCAAAACAATTTGTGTATTCTCTTCGGATGTGCAACCAAAGTCTCCAAACACAGCAGACTTTTTGGATATTAAATCATATCGTTGCATCTCTGGAGTTGTGTTCCAGTTATTATAGCTGACTTTTACTTTTGTGTGCTCCCTTCTCAAGTCCTTCCTCCACCTTGGAAGAATGAACTTCTGTGGCACCGAGAACACACCTTTCACCGTGAGTAGAGTAATGATATGCCGACATAAAATTCCTTGAAACTCAAATAAACGACAACTGCATCTCACATCAAACTCTGCCTGCTTGAAGTAAACAGTGAAACAGACCTTTTGGTTACTCGAGCCGTTATCGAACACCATGTCTTCTATAACCTCATACACACCAAAGTCGTCTTCTTCTTTCATGGAATGGACATAACAAAACATTTTCCCCTTGAACTCCTCTTGAATTTCTTTAAATTTATTGTTGGTGTATGCTTGTTGAAATTGTTTCTCGATATTGTAGTGACTTACACAGGTACAACAATAGTTGAACGAGTTCAAATCTTCTTGCAATTCTTTCTCAACCTTGATCTTTAGTGCCTTATCGTACCGTTCCACAAACTGCTTTATTGTGGTTTTTGAGTTTACATAGCCCTCAAAGAATGCATGCACACTTTCACTTCTCTGTGTTGTTGACATTCCTGCCCAAAAGCTGTCTTTCACATAAACCGGAACCCAACGATGATGGTTGTCGTACAATGTACTCAACCATGCATTGGATTGAAGACTATACTTCTGAATCATTTGGTCCCAATTGAAATCAAATTCTTCTTTGCTCATCGAATCATATACAACATGCATCAAGGTGGTCTTTATCAGTTCATAGTTAGAATGCCAGCTTAATTTTCCAGAAATTTTCTTCATTATATGCCATAAACACCATCGATGTCGAATCTCTGGGAAGACAATCTCAATTGCCTTTCGCATGGCCATATCCTGATCGGTAATTATAGCCTTTGGTGCATTACCACACATGCAAGCAAGCCACTGCGTCAAGAACCACACATATGTTTCAGTATCCTCACCGGATACTAGCCCACAACCGAAGAGTATAGGTAGACCATGATGATTAACCCCGACAAAGGTAACATACGGCATATCGTGTTTGTTTGTCAGGTAAGTCGTATCAAAAGTAACAACATCATTAAATGACTTGTAAGCCACTCGACTCCTCTCATCTGCCCAGAAAATATTTCTAATATGACCCTCTTCATTAAAATCCATGGAATAATAAAAATTTGAATTCTGCTCTTGCATTCTATTGAAATAGTTGCAAATTGCTCCAGCATCTCCGACACCAAGACACAGCTTCCTTGCTTTGTCAATGTTGTCGATATAATTCTGACAAACCTTCTCCAAGGAAGGTTCATTTTCATGCTCTCCATATTCAGCAGCAGAAGCAATAGGCTCCGCGACACTACCATCAACTTGATCAATTTTCTCTCGTCGCCTTTTGATACTGGTACTAACACTCCTCCGACGTGGAAGATACCTTGCCCTCGTCGGACTCAATTCATGGTTATGCTCAAGGAAAACAGAAGTCACTCGCACAACCCCATCATCATACACTCTCGCATTAAGCTTAGCATTGCACTCTATCTTCATCGTCAAGCTTGGGTTCACCGACTTTTCTCGTTTGCACCTCGACTTCCCACCACGACCACACGAAAGCGTGACAAAGTGCAACCTCCCTTGCTTATCATTTTTGGTCGACTTTTTGAACACCGGAAAACCTACTTGGTTGCCATATGTTTTGTAGTACTCGTACAATTCATCTATACACTTGAACATCATTCCGGCAGAGGGTTGTTCAACTACATCCTTCCCTTTCGGGCTGGCATCTAAGTCGCATTTGTTCCCATCTTGTATGACAACGATAGCCATGGTCGTGTTCTCCTGAGATGCCCTACCTTGCTCCGTCTCGTCTTCCATGTGCTGCAGATACACGAAGTAACACCTCAATCTAATCCCCACTCACAGCCCACATCAACGCCCCAATTAAATAGATGGGATCATATCATGCGATTATTATGTGAATGCGCCAGTGCTGAGGAAACCCTAATTTATGGAAAAGAACTGACTTTGAGGAACCTCTATAAAACCCTAATCCAGATGCCATCGGATCAAAGAATAGGATTACCTCTGTACAAGCCGCAGAAGTTGTGAAGAGCTCTGGGGGTGGGAAGAAGGGAGCCAGCCGTCTACTATAGCGAGAGACGTGGAGGGGATGCGACGGATGGAGAGAGGAAGCGACGGAGCAGCGAACGGCGAAGGGAGGCCGCGAGCAACCAACGATAGGAAGAAGTGGGGGAAACGAAGACGACGGCCTCAGAGAGAAAGGAGAAGAGGAGGAGGCGGCGGTGGAGGACGACGCCGAAGGGGCGTGATCGGAAGGTTTCGGGAAGGAAGACGGCTCGTGTCGCGTGTTGGAGCCAAAGTCGCGACCTAATCGAGTGGAGAGTACTTCTCGTAACCTAACTCGTAATTTATACCACCCAAAACGACCCAGCCTTCACTCGCCGAACTCTATCCCACATGTAATGGCTCTATTCCATAAAACGTACCAAAGAAATGTCCCGCAACTTTCTCATCCTACGTGGATCTCTCTCAGCCTCACATTTGGTTCACACAAGGTGAGGTTTGTGAGATCCGAACGGGAAAGGAGACGAAATGGGTGTCGGCGTTTAGGGTAGCATTATAAAGAGCCCATCGATGAGGATGAAGACGGCGCCCAAAGTCGGTGCGTGAATCGAGGCACGAGCAACGGTGTTTAGCGCGCACCGAGCTATCACTAACTCGTGCCTTAGACTCGCTCCCCAAGTCGCGGGAACAGGGAAAGGTGTAGCGAGGCCGGTGGCGTCGGATCTGCCACCACGTAGCACACGAAGTGCGGCACCACCGGAGCCCAAGACGAAAAAACCTAAGTGGCGAGATAACGGCGAGCTCGACACGCCATGGCGTCCAACCAAGAAAGAAGGCAGGCGAAGCCCGAGCGGTCTCGACGAACGAATCTACTCCGACGCCCAAAAGAACACTGCTTACATGCCCATAAGCTGGCCAAGTCCAAGTTCAGTGCAAGAAAACGCTGATGAGATTTTCTTCGAGGTCGTCGGCGGATCAATGGTAGCTGGTAAGCGTCGGCCTCACTCTGTAGGTTCATCATCTGCTTTATTACGTATGCTCCCATGTATCTTTCTTTCTAAGTTAAGATTGCTGTGGCTAAGGTTTTATCATTCATGCTTAAATGCACGCACATGTTGTGTTCGAGAGAATGCGCGTGACAAATGGGTCGTCTTCTTACAAGGTACTGTTCTTATTTTGTAACATTTGAATGCGTCATTATAATTTTTTTGCTCTAAGATTAGATCTGCTACGTTCATATAGCGGTCATAGATTTAATTTTCCTGTGGGAAATTATCCAAGCAATTCATGTCTTTCAAGAATTTTTGCATTTCTGGTTTCTTCTTGAAACGATATTCCAACCATCTCCATTAGAACAGTATATCTATGTTTGGTACTTGACTTTCAAATCCAGAGTTTGATTCATCAAGTCTTACTGATACTCTCAATCCGAACTATTTTTTATCCTTTAGGTGAATAATTAGCCTTTACGTTATTAAATTTACTGTGATGTATATCAAATTTTAAGTGAATATTTTAACAAAAATGCTTGTGCTTGTAAGGCTGATGAATTTTGGAGTTGTGATGCATACTAACAGTGATACCATGGTAAGTCCTCCAGCCAAAGCTGAGAGCATGAAGCAATACAAATGCGCCAGTTGCAGTTCAAAGAAAGGAAAGGCAATAACTTTGAGTATGATCTCCAATTTGTCTGTTGCAATCTATAGGCATTTAGAACGGGGCAGTGCCCCCAAATTGGCTATCTATGGCAGCATTGTGGGTATGATGTAGATGGCTGTGACAGCTTAATTCTTAACACTGCTTTTTCTTGCAGCTGACTTGCCGGTTTCAGTCCCGACTTAACCAAACCGATCAGGTTAGTTCAACCCTGCTTTGAACAGGTCCGTTTAAAGTGATCTGTTGGTTGCATGATTGAATCTGAGTTAGTTGGTTTGATCTTGACCTGCCGTGCATAAATGTTTATTTGGTAACTCTTAGATATGGTCTGAAGGATGAAAGGCGATTGTGGTTACATAGAATAAGTGGTCTGAAGGCATGGATTATTCATGGATACCGTCCTGGTAAACTGGAACTTCTACTCTGCTTCTTCTAAGCTCATGCAATTGTCTCGCATCGAATTTTGTTTAATTTATGAAGTATATACAGGCTGAGATGTATCCTGAGAGTACTTCAATTATGACTACATGACTGCAATGGAGTTCGTCACAGATGAGTCATCCTTGTGTGCATAATTCGATACTATTTTTTTTATTTATGATGCATATGTTTTTCTCTTCAGGACTAAATTTTTTTTATTCCTGATTCACCAGGTGTGGTCTCATGTAGGACCAGTCACAGTTCGACACAGATGCAAAACGTGTGCATGGAGAGGCCAGTTGTCATTTAACATTGGTCCATGATGGAGTATCGTCTTGTTTGAACAAACACCATTGTTTGCGAAGTGATGCAGCTGCGATTGGTGACGGAAGGATTGATATGCGTCCTAATCTCACAATTAAGGATACATGTATGAAGTTTTTCTGTGTATGGATGAAAGACTATGTATATTGATTCTCTCCAGACCCATATTGATAGAAGCCTTGGCTATGGCTTTGTGCCTAACCTTCATGGTTTCAATTCTTATGCAATTGATTCCTACACGCTATATGATTACATGGACGCTATGTAATCTTTGAATGAAATGAATAAATTCTTTTTAGAAATCATTCATCAACTCAATAAAAGGAAAAATATATATATAGAGGAGCAATTTGTTTTTGTAGTCATTGGTGCTCTTCTACAGCTACTTTTTTTTGTGGTGATTCTTCAACTTTCTTATGCATTCCAATACTAATAATTTGATGTTTAGAATGTGTTACCATTACTATATATATATATATATATATATATATATACACACACACACACTCCAAAAAATCCAAAAAAAAAAAAAGGTCAACAATGTTGACAAATATCACCGAATGGTCAAACTAATCGTAAAATAGAACCACGTAAAATTGCAGTGCCGCAACCCAACCGTCACATTCTTTTGGGGAGGGGTTATTTGTTCCAGGAGGCACGCAACATGTTTGGGTGAGACTCCACGAAATGCATCTCTGACTTTTCTAGGGTTTGTCTCTGCAGCTGACGACGTGCACGATAGCAACGCAACCCTTCTCTTCCACCACACGACGTGCAGGCCACGTCCCCAAGTGGAAGTGAAGTTTCGGCCTTCTTGTTGTGTGTCTGTGTGGAAAGGAGAAAACACATGACCGAGAATGGGAGATGGAGAGACTTGGAGGCAGAGATGGACGACTCTGGTGATGTTTCACTGAGCGTGCAGGTGGCCATTGGGAACACGTGATGACGAAGCAAATCCAGGGACGTATTTCCGGTCGCCTGCGTGCGCGTTTGTCGAAGCCGCCGCCGTGAATGCGAGCATCGGAGAAAAGAAGAAGAAGAAGAAGAAGAAGATAGCTGGTGGAGGAGGAGAACAGTGCCACACCTTTTTTTCCACTACGTCTCTCTCCAGCCTACTTCTTCGCCGCATCCATATTCCTCGCACAACCCTATACCTCACGCTTAACACGTTTTTCTCTGCCCGCCGTGATTCAAAGGAATTGCCGAAAGCTAATTCAGATTATGCGAGACTTGGTAGTGGAGTCACATCGACGAAAGCTCACGATCCATCATACACATTTTTACCTACAGAATCCTGTGAAGGAAACGGATATTACAGCTGCAGTGCTGTTATACCTTCACTAGTTCGCCAACCCCTCATGCTTCACGAGTTCCCATGGTAGTGATCTTGTATAAATCCGACATCAGATTGCATGTTTTGCCATCATCGGCTCCTTGGTAGAGTTTAGACAGACATGGAGGTGGCTGAGGAATGGCCGGAACCAATCGTCCGGGTTCAAACTTTAGCTGATGCCGAAGCTGTCCCTGAGAGGTACATCAAGCCACCGTCCGAGCGACCCAACCTGAATCCCGGTACGGCGTTGGCGCCGAGTGAGACGGGAAGCCTTCCTGTCATCGACCTCGCCGGCCTGAGTGGTGGCGCCGCGGAGAGGCGGGCGACGATGCTGGCCGTCTCGGATGCTTGCCGAGACTGGGGTTTCTTCCAGGTGGTGAACCACGGGGTGAGCCCGGAGCTGATGGAGGGGATGAGGGAAGTGTGGACGGCGTTCTTCCGGCTACCCATGGCGGAGAAGCAAGCTTACGCCAACTCCCCCAAGACATTCGAGGGGTACGGCAGCCGCCTCGGCGTCAAGAAGGGCGCCATTCTTGACTGGGGCGACTACTTCTTCCTCCAGCTTTCACCTCACTCGATCAGGAACTACGACAAGTGGCCTGTTCTTCCTGCTTCCCTGAGGTATACATATACACACATGGATCCTTGTTTCCGCTCTTTCGATCATTTGGATGCTGCGTACTGATATTGAGGATGCGAGCAGGGCGATGACGGAGGCCTACGGCGAGGAACTGGAGAAGCTGTGTGGGGTGATAAAGAAGGTGTTGTCTGCAACCCTAGGACTGGACGAAGAGTTCCTCCACAGAGCCTTTGGAGAGGCTGGCGCTTGCCTGAGGGTCAACTACTACCCCAAATGCCCGCAGCCTGATCTCACCCTCGGCCTCTCTCCCCACTCCGACCCCGGAGGGATGACGGTCCTGCTCACCGACCACCACGTCAAAGGCCTTCAGGTGCGCAAGGGTGACGACTGGATCACGGTGGAGCCGGTCCCCGGTGCTCTCATCGTCAACATCGGGGACCAAATCCAGGTTCGCTTCCTCCCGGACCATTGCATCTATCTCACGCATACGATACGTCCTCCGCCTCGGCCTGCATGAGTATAGCCACGATGGACGTGAATAGGACGCATGGTCTTAAAAACCTATTTGTTTTCTTATCTCAATTGCGTGATTGGCATGACAACAAAGTCTCATCTTTTTCTGTCCTGATGCGGCATGATTCTTCCTCCCTGCATCCAAAAATAGGTCAACTTTAAGATTTTTGGTAAGATTCTTCCCCGCTGCATCCAAAAATAGGTCAACTTTAAGATGTTTCGTCAAATCGTTGTCTTCGGAAAGCACCAAAAACGTGTCTTATACGAACGTAGAATGTAAAAGGACAAGAGATAGTTTACTAGTGCAGTTGGCTGTGGTGATAATTCAACCTCGATGACGCAGGTGTTGACCAATGCGACATATAAGAGCGTAGAGCACCGGGTGGTGGTCAACGCGGCGACGGAGCGGCTGTCGATGGCCTTCTTCTTCAACCCCAACGACGACCTGCCGATCCAACCCGCCGCCGAGCTGGTGACGCCCGAGGCGCCGCCCCTGTACAAGCGGCTGACCTTCAAGGAGTACAAGCTGTTCATGAGGATGTTGGGCCCCCGTGGCAAGTCCCACGTTGACTTCGTCAAGTCCACCTGATCCGATCCGATCCGATCCATCCTTCCCGTGTCTCGACGCCACCAATAAATTCGCATCTCGATTTGGAATGCAATACACACCATTTTAAAGATTTGATTGTGTGACCTCAGAAAAATGATCCAATATATATTATAATAGAACGGTTTATGTGATATGTAATTTCTTAATCATTCCCTTTTTTTTTAAGGAAGTTTATTATCACAACACCTGAAAAATAAATAACCAAATCAATTTTTAAATAGATGTGAGTAGCCAATACAACTAAAACAAAGTTCATAAGTAAGAATTCCTAACAAAAAATATTTCTCTTTGAATTACTCTTGCATTTTATATTATATTCTTTAAGAGGCTAATCATGTTATGAATTGATAAGTAAGAACAGGTAGAGATTCTTGTTAATGCTCCTATTTATTTTGATGTGTATTGAGCCCAAAGGCCATGCATGTCATAAGGCCCAGCAGACCATAACATTTCATATCAATGCTTAAGGAACATAAAGTAAATGTTGATGCAAAACTTCTAATCTTGCAAGTATATATTAAACCAATACTCAATTTGTTGAATTTTTTAAGCATGCATTATGGCTGATTAAGTTCTCTATGAATTAAAAGAGTGAAAAAATAATTTTTTAAAGCAAAATTATATTAGCTAAACTGATTAAGTTCTCCAAGAAAATACATCACTGATGAATCTAACATGTGAGGCTAGTCAATTAGTTATTGTACATAAAAACAATTATTATACACAAAGGACATAACAAGGAAATAATACAACCATTAAAGCATTTTGGAGAAACCACCATTAATGTTGTGTATGGTTAATTATACATACTTATGTATCATATGTCTAAATTCATAACAATTGGATACTTGAAACATTAAATCATGATTGTCATTGTTCTTATTTGTAGTGCCTTTTAAATTACATAAAAAAATATTGTTTATCTTTGTTGAAACATTTGTCTATTTCACATATATGGAGGAAAGGAATCCTCCCATAAACATATTTTATTTAACATATATTTTTCCAAATGAATGTTACTTGGCCCACATATACATATTATCTATAATGTATGTGACAAAGATCCAGATGAGGGAACAGATGCTACTTGGAATACCTGTCCATCTTCGTTAAATCCAACCTCATTGTCATGTTAAACATAGACACCCTCTATCTGCAACGTAACATACAATAAACATACAGTGCTGCTGGGTCAGCTGTGTGTTCTCTTCTTATCCAGAAGTCGGCCATGGCAGAGCCGCTTTAGTGGACTTTGATGGTCAAACTTTGGCATCTCCTCTTCTTCTCTTTCCTCCATCCATCACTGTCTACCTTCAAATATGGATCAGCACTTTGAGGTATTATCCTCAATCCCCCTCATCTTCACATACTCCACTCATATTAAACTCGCAGCATGAGTGGTATCAGAGGACCACATATTTGTCGCATACTTATCATCGTTTGACTAATTCGTTCGGCACTTTTCTATAATACTGTTTTATGTATATATATATATATATATATATATATATATTTATATGATGAGTTATCGAAAACTTATATATAAAAAATTGGATGTGAATGAGTATTCGATGGTTAAGAAATTATATATATATAATATTTGTGTTGAAGAATGTTTATAAATACGGTGACTAATTTGGCATCAATTTCGATTTGAAACTGAGGACTCAAACCATGGCGTTCCATCTCAGCCGTTGATCAGTAGGCCATCGCAAGGCGTGCGCGGTACGTTAATCGGGTAACGGCCGACATGTTTCTTTGTTAGACGCCCTTTTTAGTTCATAACGGACACACCGATGATGTGATTTCGGCGGACCCCACGCGCCTCCGTTGGCGGGTCCCGCGTACGTGCTCCTGCAGTGGGGAAGGTGGGGCTGAGGGGAACGCGGAGATGGGGAGCGCCACCAACACAACCAGAAACGCACGCTTCGCTTCGTCACGCGTTTGGGGAGGGGACAGAACAAACCGGAGCTGTTAACCGAACCCACCCGAGCCGGGGAGGGAAGGAGGAAACGCGCCGCGCGTGAGTGCGACACGCCCTTTTGCCCCCGGTGGCCGCCACCGCCACGTGTCATCGTGGTCCGTACAGATATTTATATCCTCGACCGCGACGCGGCCTCCTCCGGCTCGTTCGCGTCGCGTCAGCCGGGCCCCACCTGTTGCCTCTTGGCTTCCGCGTGGGCCCCGCGGCGACAGGAGACCGCCCCGCCCCGTTCCGTCTGGCGTTGCGTTTGGCCCTCGTTTCGTTTTCGTTTCATTTCATTTGGAGCGTAGGAAGCAGGCAGCTTCCTTCTCTCCGGAATTATTGTGGGCTTTTACGAATCCATCCCTGCCAAGTATCAAATTTCACATCAACCCTCGCCTAGCATTTTTTTTGTTTTCATATATGCCCTGAAACGGTAACAAGTGGTGAATTAGGGGCTTATGTAGGGGCAAATATGGGAATGTGTATGACCCTTTTACCCGCCTCCCCTCCACCTACAAAAGGAACCAAAGAGTGTAGCCTTTCTACGCTACGCCGAGCGCCCACTTCTTTCACCCTTCCTTCCGATCTCTCGTATGCATCCTTACTCTGCTTTTCTTTCTTTCGTAGGCTTCTTATGGCGTTCTGATGTGTGCTTGTTTCGTTCTGGTGTCTGATGAGTTTTCTGCCGTCTTGTATAGGCGAAAGAGAGGACATGTGCACCGGCCTCATGAAATCCTCCCCGCCGACCAAACCCGGGGCCGTGGGCGGCGGAGATGTCAAGCAGCCGGCGGCGTCGGAGGCGGCCGCGCTGCTTCTCGAGCTCGCCGCCTCGGACGACCTTGCAGCCTTCAAGCGGGCGGTGGAGGAGGACGGCCACTCCGTCGACGCCGCCGCCCTATGGTACGGTCGGTCCTCCGGTCGAGGGATGGGCTACCAGCAGCGGACGCCCCTCATGATTGCGGCTCTCTATGGCAGCACAGCCGTCATCGGCTATATCCTCGCAGGCCACACAGCCGAGGCCGCCCGCCGCGCCGCTTCCGACGGCGCCACCGCCCTTCACTGCGCCGCAGCCGGCGGCTCCGCCGCCTCTCTCGAGACCGTCAATCTCTTGATCGGTGCCTCCGCCGAGGTCGTCGACGCCCTCGACGCTAGCGGCAACCGCCCCGGGGACGTCATCGCCCGGCAGTCCTCGAGCACGGTCGCCAAATCTCTCGAAGTAATCCTAAAGGCTCCGGTCTGCCCTAGGGTTTCGTCCCCTGCTAAAGAAGAGCCAGCCAAACAGGGCGAGAAGAAGGAATACCCGCCGGATTTGACGCTTCCGGACATCAAGACCGGGATCTATGGCACCGACGAGTTCCGGATGTATACTTTCAAGGTTAAGCCGTGCTCCCGCGCTTACTCCCACGATTGGACGGAGTGCCCCTTCGTCCATCCCGGGGAGAACGCCCGGCGCCGAGACCCGAGGAAGTACTCCTACAGCTGCGTGCCGTGCCCGGAGTTCCGCAAGGGTTCTTGCCGGAACGGCGATGCTTGCGAATATGCCCATGGCGTGTTCGAGAGTTGGCTCCATCCGGCGCAGTACAGGACACGGCTGTGCAAGGATGAGACCGGATGCAACCGCCGCGTCTGCTTCTTTGCCCACAAGCCGGAGGAGCTGCGGACAGTGAATCCCTCGGTGGCATCAGTTAACGGGATGGCGTCGTCGTCGCCTAGATCATCGTCGCCGGGTCTTTCCTCTTTGGACATGGCAACGGCCTTGATGCTGATGCAGCAGCCCGGCTCGCCGATGTCCCCCTCTGCGGCTTCATCGGGTTTAGTGGCCACGGCGGCGTGGATGAATCAGACTGGGGGCGTGATGACACCTCCTCCGGCCTTGCAGCTGCCGAGCAGCAGACTGAAGGCTTCGCTGAGCGCGAGGGACTTGGATTTCGACCTCGACTTGCTTGGACTGGAAGGGTATCAGCAGAAGCTGATCGACGAGATCACGAAGCCGGCCTCTCCCCGAGCCAACTGGGGCACGAACAGCTTGGCTGCCTCACGGATTTCAGAATACAGCGACTTGCTGGGTTCTGTTGATCCATCACTGCTGACCCAACTGCAGGGTCTCTCCACGAGGCAGACTGGAGCTCATTTCCAAGCCCCCTCCGCCCTCCAGAAGCACCAATCTCAGTTGCTCTCTGGATATGGAGGAAACCTCTCTTCTTCCCCTGCGACATCCTCGTTCGGGCTCGACCACTCGATGGCGAAGGCCATCATGAATTCCAGGGCTTCCGCTTTCGCCAAGCGGAGCCAGAGCTTCTGCGACCGCGGGGCAACCGCCGGTCGCCAATCCACGCTCTCAGCGATGACAACCGCAGCGGTCGCCGCGCCGTCCCTTCTGTCCGACTGGGGCTCTCCGGATGGTAAGTTGGACTGGGGCGTTCAAGGCGAGGAGCTGAACAAGCTGAGGAAATCCGCATCCTTCGCCTTCCGCGGAGCAGCTCCAGCCACCGCGCCCACGGGGATGAACGAGCCCGACCTGTCCTGGGTGCACTCTCTGGTGAAGGACGGACCTGCGGCGCCCCCGGTAGGCCGGCTTGGCGCCGGCGAGCAGCAGAGCGGATACCAGCTCAGCAGCGGGGGCGACTTGTTCTCTCCATGGTCGGAGGAGAAGATAATGGCGTAGAGGACGGAGATAACGTTGATTTTTCGATCTGACCAGTTCTTTTCTTCGTTACGTCGTTGAATCGATTATAATCTTTAGCAGGATGTCCGAAGGACGCCCGAAGGGCGTCTGAGCTCGTCAATGGCAGCCTGCAAGTTCTTTCATTTATAAGCAGTAACATATATATATATATATAAATATATAAGAAGAGAATAAATCCATTGTGTCATATTATGCTAATAGATCTCTGTACCAAGTTGATGTTATGCCTGCTTGTAATCCGATCATATTCTTCTAATCTCCTTATTTTAAGCACTCAATTGATTTGTGTTCTCAGCTTTACCATGGAACCTTGTCATACTAACAATGAATGGAAGGTGAAGTTGACTTACTGATCTGTTTGATATAGAATGAATCATTCAATGCGTGCTTCTCAGTGGTCAGATCAATGAATGAAGTTGCAGAATTAATGTGCATGTCATACGGATAGTCAAAGTCGAGTCAACAAAACATTGAGCCAACCGTGATTATAACTTGTTTTTCCGTTAATTATTATTGGCACAGCTGAAGAAAAGATGTCATTATGGATTTGATCGAAGACTTAACTCAATACTCGATAGCATTATGGATTTGATATGGCGGAAAATAAAAACAAATATAGTCTCTTTGTCGTACTGCTCTGCAACTGTGGAACTGTCGTAGCTCTTCGCTGCTTGCATCACTGCGTGAGCTCCAAGAACATTGAAGATTGTCGGGATCATCGTGCTGAGGAAACTTGGTACCATTTACGGTCTCGATCTTGTGGCATAACTCGAAAGCTCAGATGCCGTCTCCATGATGACCACATCAAGCATTTCCTGTGCTACTGCTGCAGCAATCTCGCCGACCTCTTCCGACCTCCAAACATCTCCCGACGGCCATGTCGTGCTCTTCAGATCCTCCTCTGTGAGCGTGCAGATCTTCTCCCAAATGTGACTCCAATCTCGCCTGACGACTTGCTCAGCTCTGCTAGATTTCGTGATGCCTGAGATCGTCTCCGTATGAGAACATGGAGATGTCGAGTTGAGATTCTCGAATTTTGACGACAGTCTCCTTCTCGGGCTTTGCTGCCGTCGCTCGTCGTCTGCATTTCCTGAACGATTAGATCACCCTCCATGTACCAAGGTAATTAACTTCGCTACTCGAAGCGATTAGCCATACCTGAAGTAGGAGGGCTGATGGAGATGGAGTACTCGCCGTCCATGAAGCCATAATCCAGAACTGAAACTGGACTCGAATCTTGTGAGCTGCAACCTGTTTCGTTCTTCGCCTGAGCAGCTGCTAACTTCTGCATCTTCTTTTGTTCCGCGGCCTTTGCGTTGCCGCCGCCGAGCTTTGTAACCGTGCAGGAATCTCTGCGAAGCTTCTCCTTCGGAGAAGGGACAACCGAGTCCCTGCCATTCTTGTGCTCTCTCTCGGGCAAATTCTGCTGCTGCTTGTGAGAATTCTTCTGGTGGTTCCTCGTCTTCTTTTCTGCCACTCTCCTCTCAGTCCTGTTGGCTTCCCTCTCCTTCGAATCCCCTGTACTTGCCTTGTCTTTCCTGCCCTTCGCCATTGTGGTCTCTGCTTTACTCTCAGGAGCGAAGCTTAGAACCAGGAACTCCTCATTCTCCTGCCTCAAGTACGTCGGAGCCCCACGAAACGACAACGAGGTCTTAATTTGCACCCCACTGCTCCCCTCACTGCACGAGACCCCCGGCCAGCTCTCGGCGGAGTTCGCGGACCGACTTCCCTTGACCGAGTCCGGAGGAGTGTAGGGGAACACCGGCATCGAGTCGAGCCCCATCAGTCGTGCCACAACGCAGGGACTCGCCGGCGGCTTCTTCTTCTGCATGGCGACCCCCTGGCTATGCACATTGTGGCGGAGGCTTGCACACAGCAACCGGCGGATAACCCCGGACAGGCACCCGGCAGCGTCGGAATTGAAGTCGAGAGGAGGGCGGCGAGGGGTCTTCATGAGGGAAAGAGCGAGAAGAGCACGGACAAGGGTGCGCTGTAAGATTTTATGATCACGTAGGTCGGGAAAGGAAGTGAGGGAGGGATTTGAATGGAAAGAGAGGCCGGCCGGACTGCCGGGGCGGGCTTTGCATTTGAACGAACAGTGGATGGGCGATGGGATGACGAGCCATGTGTGGTTGGGAAAAGAGTGGCTCCGTGGGGTCCGCATGGGTCCTTTATTGGGTGTGGACCATCGGAGGTGCTGCTTTTGGTCTGTCGCTTCACAGTGAGGTGTGATGCCGTCGAAGGGGAGATGGGGGTGGGCCGGCGACGCGAGGGCGAGAGACTCGCTTCTGGCACCGGCCGATGTTTCTGACCTAGGATTTGCGTGGTGGGTAGGGCCCGCAGCTCCTTCCTTTCTTCCTTCCCCCCTTATCCTTCTCATTTCAGTGGGCGCAGTCAAAAGCAGGACGATCAGCGTGCTGTCGGATGTCGACGACGAAGAAAACGTGAAAGAGTGTCATAAGCTACAAACAGAGACGGACATAAAAATAGCGATAGATTTATTTTGAGCGAATCCTAAAAAAAGCAAAACCTTTTATATATTTTTTTTTCTTTTCCGGAAAAGAATATTTATTTTCAGATAATTTTTTTATCTAATACCCAATACCTGAAATACCCCTAACTTGACAATCAATTTCTTATCTTTTTCTTTGTTTTTTTTATAAACTAATCGATAAGATGAATCGATCTAATTTATATATATATATATATTACTAAAACTCTAATAAATATTAATTGACCAGTGTGGTAGAGTCAGGTGAATTGAATTGTTTATTGTGGCATATATGGCGCCTATCAAATTTATAGGGTAGAAAATACAATGCTTGGCAGGGATATATATATATGACTAAAGGAGTTACTGCCGGATGTGTTCATCTCCACCATGGAAACGTCGACGACAACAGTTGGCGGGATCGGTACTCAATGCGCATCAATGAGTCTCTTGGATTGCTTCTCCACCACGCCTCTGCACGGCGACAGCAACAGCAACGACTGTTGATGACAGTAGCTTCCATGGCGATGCCACTGTTCATGATTAATCCTTTCTGTGGACTCATCTCAGGTATGTTGTCAAGATCACAACCACGCCTACTAATGACAAAGCAATCTATGACCGTCAACGCACCACTACATCCGCCACACCACAGTCTAAGGAGGAAGGAGGAAGGAGGGAGGAAGGAGGAGGATTAGATAGCTGACACATGCACGTAGGTGGATAGATGAATCTTTGAGCAGAGTAACATCATGATGTCCCCCCAGTGGCTGGTGCTTGGGAACTGCGGCAGAGAAGAGGTCCATGTTGGTGGCTTAGTTTTCCACATATATTATGATCGGTTGATGCTACTGTTTGAGAGAGACTGCATGTAATCTTCGTGTGATCAGAAGAGAAGATGACTAGCTGTGAGCCTTCGTAAGGTCAGTCCTTTATATCTTCGTAGAAATGATCAGTTGATGTTACTGTTTGAGAAAGACTGTGCACGCATGTAATCTTGTTGTAATCATAATAGAAGATTACAAGATGTGACTCATTCTTCTTCTCTTCTCCTTTGAAGTATTGTATTCTAATTTTCTTTTATAAAATTTAAAAATTATTATATCAAATACATATAATGTGTAAGATTTAAATCTTAGATTTATTATTTATATAATAATATACTAATCAATCCAGACATGAGAATGAAAACCAATCATATTAATAACACATGTTTCTAAGTGTTATCAACTTTGTGGATATACACAACTTTCATTTGCTTGCAATTATATTTCGTCCCTTCTCTTTGGCATTAATTATTTTTTTTTTAAGATATTGACTTGTTTACTTAGTAAAAACTTTAATATATATTATAAAATTCTTAATTTAATTTTTTTAACATAAAAATGAAAATGATTAAAATAAGTGAGATAATATAAAATTTTAAATGATATGTTAAAAGGTACATCAATATCAAATTGAAATGATAAAATCTATATTAAAACAGAATAATTTCTTAATCGCCCACATCTGACACAATTATCTCGACATGATAAAATAAAACTTTTTCTAACTATATTGAAACCTAAAATTTTTATATTTTATTTTTTTTTATTATATATTAATAGTGTAGATATCGATAATCTCTGGATCAACTCAATTTGATTTGAAGCCATATATATAATACATTTGATGTGAACATAAAAGAGGTTAAAATGTTAGTTCGAGGGCTAAGGTAAACTTGAGCAAGTGCTCCACAATCAACTTATATGAAAACTAAGTCATATGGGTTTTTCGACGGGTTCCTCCGACACTCAAGTAAGCAGTCAATAAACTGTTGAGTGATTTTTATATATAATAATTAAATTTAATTATCATGTCAAAAATAATCTTTTATATCGGATTAATCAAGAAAAATATTATGTTACATGGGCAAAATATTTCTCGTCATGATTTGCTATTATGGAAGTATTCCTCCATTTGAATTAATGACCATATGCTCTAGATATAGATTGAGTCCTGTCATGTTACTGTTGATTGGGGTATTGAGCCACTATTGAAGTAGATATTTCTCTTATCAAATTTTATCTGAGTTGAAATCATGCTAGTCAAATTTCTAATATTTTCTCTAATTCATGTATTTTTTTATTGTAAGATTTAAAATAACTTCGTAGCGATTCAAATGGGTTTTAATTTTTCACCTTCAAAGGATGGTAAATTCAACTTCATGATGTACCAATTTTGTTCGATGAAAGTTTAACATTATCGATAGAAAGGGATTAGACGGTTTCAATATTTTTGATGGTGTTATAATCACGATATTGTTGACTAGGGAGTGAACACGGTTTGATCCCATCATGAAGGCACAAGCTCGTCCTGAGAGTCCACCTGGTGCTCTCAAATGTTGGCTGTGACGAGAGAAATTAGTTGACATGATCCTAATGTGTTACTTATTCATTCGAGATGGCTTCTACGTTAGGCCAAGGTAGTTGGGCCTTCTCGAGATTCTAGAGTCGAACTGAGAAGTGCCTTGGCTTCATCAAGGTTCGTACATAAGAGGTCAACGTTAAGGGAGTTTCCGACTCAACCCTTTCCATGGTAAGATCAGTCGTGGGAATTAAAGTAGTAGAATTTTTTTCATTCCCTAATTTTAGGTTCAAGGGGCTGACTTTTATACCTAGACAGTCGATGGTTGGAGGCTATTGGCTCCTCTCTTTATTCGTGATCCTTTGGGAGCTCATTTATGTCAATAGCCGACTGGTTCCTTTCCTTGTTAGCAAAGGATGATCATAGGGGCATTGTTTGCCTGGGCTGATGTTTGTATGGGAAAAGAGGATGGCGATTGTTCGCGTTTGGTGATCGAAAAGGATTAATGCTCCTGGAAAAGGGAGAGATGGGTTCAGTTGTCAGGAATTAATGCTCCGGAAAAAAAAAAAGGAGATGGGTTTCACCGTTAGAGATTAATGCTCTTTGTGTCCGGGCATATGATCGTTCTCGAAATCATGATCGATAGGGGGAAAGGTCACTTTCCCATTGTTGGGTCGCAGGATAATGGAGGTGCATGAGCTCTTCTACTTTGATTATGCTAAGGTAAGAGTAGGTCCTTGAGTGAGCCAATAGGTTAAGACTAATGTTATATTATTCCCTATCAAATGAAAAGAGATCAAATCGATCTTTCGCCTTGGAAGGATAATAAAATTTTACTTCATCATCTAAAATTTTGTTTTTCCTGTGGTGTAGGATAGGCAGGGACATTAGATAAGTATTATGATAAATATATGTCTACCTTATAACATATTTCCGTGTCAGAAAATATAATCATATGGTGAGAGAGGTTTAAACATGATTATTATGATTTATTACGATAATAATAAATCATAATAATTAGTTTATTATGATAATAATAAATCATAATTATTAGGCTTAGCCTTGGGAAAGGTCACTTTCCCATGTCTTGATCGATTTATTACGGTTCGAACTCGTATACATATGGTTGATTAATATACTTTTGATGTGAAAACATCCAAGCTCCTGATATATCATTTATACGAAGTCCTAGGTTAAAAGAGATTTTTCGATTCAATCTCTTTGATGTCCAATAAAAATATAAAATATTTTATAAAATATATTATAGAGAAACAATCTCTAGCCACCTTAAATAGTTTTTCCTTAACCTCTTATACACGATGATAATAAAATGATTGCATGTCGAATGATAATTAGTTGACGATGCACATTCTAGCAACAAGCAAAATTATTTTAGGATATCACTAAAAAAATTAATATTTGATGATATATTTGATAAATTAGGTGTAATTTATTATATATATATCAACTGACATCTGATTATTTAATTAAAAGCCTAAATAATATTTAATATTCTCTAGTAATTATTATGATAAAAAAAAGGGTGTTTCAAATATTTTTATTTTTAAATTGGATATAGTTAAATACTAATTATAATTATATATTAAAAAGAGATTATTTTGTACTCTTCGAGGAGATGACGTACCCAACGTCACTACGTGGCTCGCGCAACGATACGTTTGCGACCCATGTAAGCCATGCACGTCTCTTCCTCCTCCTCTGTCCCCTCTCTCTCTCTCTCTCTCTCTCATCCTCTCTGTCTCCACTCGACATAAAAGTGATGCCGCTCCACCGCTTCTCTCAATCTCTCTCTCTCTCTACATCAGGACATGGATGCAGGAACAGGTCGCTGCCTCAGGTCTCGATGGCTCCTCTGCTTCGTGGTCGTCACTCTGCTCTGTTCTGGAAGTCTCGCCCATCCCGTCTCAGGTATCGAATTCGTTCCTTTCTTCCACTTCTACATCCTCTCTGTTCCTCTTGTTTCGTTTAGATCTCCTCTCTCCTCTGCTCTGCTAGTTTCCGGAAGACGATGCTGCAGGAATCACTCGATACACCCTGCTGATGCTGTTACTTGAACAGGGCAGTTGAGAAGGGGAGGAGGACGGCGGGCACTGATTGTTTCATTGGAGGACTACAGTGGGCCACGAGCGAATCCAAGACACAATCCCAAACCATGTCCAAGCCCATGCTCAGGCCCAGGCCCAGGCCCAAAACCAAGCCCCATCCGTAACTAAGATCCGTCGGATGCATGATGAACGGTCGGATGGAGTCCGCTGTCTGTCTACAACCGGTGGTTTTGTTCTATTTGTTTCTGTTTTTTGTTTTTGTTGTTGGTTTCCATCTTAGTGACTCTTGATGTTTCTTTCCCCTATAAAAGTAGTTGTTTGCAGTTGTGTCACGGTTTGCTACCAAAAACATGTTATATGTTTTTGATGCCAGTATGTCGCACGCATGATTCGCTTGTGCCATCTTTTGATCTCTACAAAAGCCATGCATGTGATTTAAATGAATTAACATTTAAATTGGAATTTTAAGATATTGGAAATCTCAATTTCACCAAAATTATCCCAAAACTTTTTTTTTTTTTTTGCATTTGCTCCGACGAATGCATCAAAAATTGTCTATAGAAATATTGTTTTATGTAGATTTCTAAAATTTGAGAAATTGTATAGTCTTTGAATTATTTTAAATTTTGGTAGTATAAAATAACACAACTTTTCCCAATTTTCTATCCTTATATACTCATCTCAAATCCAATTAAAGGATACATGAAATAAATCCAACTCGCTATCATCAAAGGAAACTTGAATATAATAAGATGATGTGCGTTAGTTTATTTTCTCTCTCATCATTTTTGCCCAAAAGGATGAAAACTTTTCTTCTATTTCTTAAAAAAGTTACACTTTATAATAAAAAAGAATGATGAAGATAAATTGAAAATTAAAACAATTAGCAGAATTATATAAAAAAGATAACAATAAAAATCAAAATGAGTTTGAGTCTCTACTAAGAAATCATTAATGATTGGTATATTATTATATAAATAATAGATTTTAAATTCGAATCTAAATGTATGTTTAAGTGTAAAATCTGAATATATGTGAAAGTGCTCAAATTTTTTTAAAAAAAATAAAAATAAAATATATTTTTATATAAAATGAATAAAAAAACTTGTTAAGAGGTTTGTTGGGTTTGATAAGTATTTTTTATATTATTAAAGTATGTTATTTCAGGATAAAAAAGATGAGTAATATACATGCACTTTGTAAAGTATGTTATAAAATGAGTTCATTAAAGAGCTAATTATTAATTTGTAATTGCACTACACATTTAAGTTATATGGACCTTATGCATGCATGTGGTTATGGCTGCTTTGTAATTGCTCTTTGGAGCATCAATTTGTAATTGGCTGCTTTGTAATTGTAATTATTAATTTGGCATGCATGCTTTTTGTTATGGCTGCTTTGGCATATATATGCATGCACTTTGGCATGACTGCTTTCTAATTGTAATTATTAATTTGTAATTACACTTTGAAGCATCAATTAGAGATCAACTTTGTGAATCAACATACATAATTTAGTGTTCAATATAAAGTAAGAATTTTAGGACATTATTTAATGAACTAAGAACATGAATGTTTATATCCTATCTGCCCTTTCAAAATCATACATGTATGCATCGCTCTCATTATCATCATCATTACTCATTATTACCAATAAATATACATATACATATATTATCTATTTTTGAAGCCGATCGAACACTCACGTGGCGCTTGCCGATTAGTTGCATTGTGTCCAACTTGACACGATGACCGATGCCACGGCCACGCACATCCTAATATTTCCTCTTGCGATTTTTCCATAGGTGGACTCCGTTTTTCCTCCAATAAGAAATAAGGTATAACTTGGGTACTATACTTCATTATTCAAAGAATATTGGGTATTCCGGAGTCCGAGTAGGAGTCGTGCAGAGTCCAAATAACTCCATCTGATGAGATCGATATCAACGGCCAGAATTTTCTTCCTGCGAAACTACGGTGGACACGAACAGGTCGACGAGTGTTTCTTGTGTATATATAAGAGAGATCAGCGAAGCTGCAACGCCTCCTCGGGTTTCGCTGGCAACACCGGAAACCCTTGCCTAAACCATTGCCACGTCCATGTCAAAGAGATCCGCGGGTCCTCCCCTATAAGCCCTCCTCGGGTGTCGAGGGCAATCACGATTTGCCTAAACCCTTGCCTAAACCCTCGTCCCCGCATGGCGATCGACGACGAGCCGACGAGGAAGCGGCGAAGAAAGAAGTTGATGACCGGAGAGGCGGTCGAGGTACCGGCTAAACCCTCCTCCTCCCCCTTTTCTTCCCTTGCTTTGGTCGAGATATGGTCGCGAGATCGTGATGTTGAATTCGTTTGCGACGCAATCTGATGCCGTGCTTGTCTTTAGTCTCTCATATTTGTTTTTGATGAATGAGTTGGGATGCTTGTTCGTCTTCTAAACGAACTTCTTTAACAAACCATCTTAAATTCATGCGAGTTTCTGCGGTATGGTTTTTTTATTGCTATTTTTAATTTGCTCATTGTTGCTAAAGTTTCTTTAACGACGGTGATTGTATCAGAAACTACGAATTAGCCTGGTGGCTGCATTCTCCATTGCCCCAAACTTTCGAAGTTCGTCCTCATCTTTTGCCTCGTCAATTTTGTGATTAGTGGTGAAGCAAATTCTCTACTGCACTTTCTTTCAGATCTTTTGGGCTTAGGACATGTAGAAGGTGCAGGCAGAATTGTTTAGCGTTCTATGATAATCCATGTGACTGAAACAACTTTGACTTGTCTGATTCAATCGAGATTCATGAACCTACCAATGTGTTTTAGGTCATTAGAAATGCGAAGCAATTTGCTCGTATATAAAGCTATTTGCAAACTTAGTACTAATATTGCAGCAGCAGTAGCAGCCTTGCTCCTATATAGAGCTATTTTGCTAACTTAGTACTATCATCGCAGAAGCAATAACAGCCTTGCTCCAGCAACAACTTTTTGTACTACCATTATGATAGTAACATTGCTACTATCATAAGCTATTTGCTTGCTTAAAACCAGTAGAATTTTACTGCTGCTGCAGCAGTAGACAATTTGACCCTATACAAAACTACTTGCTAGCTTTGTGCTAGAATACTATGCTTCTACATCAACAAGCACTTTGCTCCTACCTTGAGCTATTTGCTACCTTAGTGTTACTATCAGAACAGCAACTTCTTTTGTGTAAAGAAGTGCATGCCATGCCAAAGTGTATGCATTTTGTTAGTGTTACTAACAAAGTGCATGCACTTTGGCATACACTTTGTTTTGGCTGCTTTGGCATGCACTTTGTTTGAGTTACTAACAAATTGCATGCACTTTGACATGCACTTTGTTATGGCTGCTTTGGCATGCACTTTGGCATGGCATGCACTTTGTTATGGCATGCACTTTGTTATGGCTGCTTTGTAATTGTAATTATTAATTTTTAATTTGCTCACTGTTGCTAAAGTTTCTTCAGCGACGGTGATTGTATCAGAAACTACGAATTATCCTGGTGGCTGCATTCTCCATTTTTCCAAAATTTTGAAGTTCGTCCTCATCTTTTGCCTCGTCAATTTCTCGTGGTCCTATTTATGGTTTTTTGTGCTATTGGGACAGTGAATAACAACTGCATCGTGACTCTATTTTGCCTTCTAAGTATTTGATTAAACTTTGATGCCCTGGCTTCCTCCATTAGTTCTTATGTTTGTTTTGTTAATTTAGGTGGGACATTTCCATGAAGGCCTTCAGTCTTGGCATTTGGCAGTGGTCATTGAGTGTGGTGAGTTTTTCCGTGTTGTTGAGCATGCCAATCGATTGAGTGGTGACCGTATTTCAGAACCTGAGGAGGTGATTCCAGTATCAGATGCAATTGAAGGCACATTCAGCACAGCCACTGAAAGTTGCAGACCACGAATTAGACCGGTGCCACCTCATGTCAGCATTGGAAATTCAGAGATCAGATATGGGCTGTGTGTTGATGCCTTGGTTGACGATGCCTGGTGGGAAGGTGTAGTTTTCGATCATGACGAAGGTTTTGAAGAGAGGAGAGTGCTCTTTCCGGATCTAGGAGACCAGGCTATTTTAACCATTGAGAGGTTGCGTCTTACCCAAGACTGGGATGAAGCTTCTGGGCATTGGAAGCCTCGTGGCCAGTGGTTGTTCCTTCAATTGCTTCAAAATTTTGACTGTGCAGGTAGCTTGCCTGTTTCAATCAGGCAGATATGGTGCAACTTGAGAGCTACTCATGTTTTTCAGGACAAAATCAAAAGCTGGGCTTTTGGAACAAAAGATATTTGGGAAAAACTGTTGTCAGAGTTGATTGAGGAAGTATGGTCTGCAGCGAATACCATTTCAGTTTCCGATGTTATCTCTAAACAATTAGTAACTGCTGGCATGGCTTCAGTTGATGTTTGCACTTCAATGGAGGATGTTATTTGTCCTCAAGGTGCTGACCTTGGATTGGATGATCTGACTAATGGTACAGACAATAATTGCTCTTCAGGACTAAACACACCTGATGATCGTGCCTTAATTTCAGGTGCTCAAAGTCCATGTCAGTTGAAGTATGCTAGTGAGAATTCCTCCCAAGCAGTTTTAGTAGTTGATGCTACAGAGGTTTCAGGTGCAGATGGGTTTCTTCAATCCTGCGACAGTACTAAAGCATCAATGAAACCCAGGGTTTGCTCGAAAGCATTACAGGATTTCATACAAGTGTGTCGCAATAAATTTTGTCCTATAGATTTGAAGAAAAAGCTTTATGTCTTGCGTCAACTTGCAAGGTCTCATCTTATGGCTGTAGGATGGAAGCTCATCAAAGATGTTCATGGTCGTAAGTATTATGTCTCTCCTCTGGGAAAACGTTTTGGGTCTCTGGTTACAGCCTGTGAAGCATGGAAAACAGTGGAAGAAAATTCAGACACAACAACTGATTGCACCTTTGTAGCAGAGAATCATGCAGCCGAGGTCCGAGGCACATTCTCCATCCTCACATCCATGCACAGTAAGGCTGAGAATATCCCAAGCTGTAGTGTTGCAAACAATTGGAAGCCTCTGAAACTTGATGCCAGCTACTGCCCTGGGTTGGTAGAAGTATATGCATCCAAGATGAGAGGTGGAAAGTCAAGGCTGAAAAGCTTGGCGAAGCTTGATTGCAAATCTCTATCGGAAAAAGTGAAGAAACATCTTGTGGCTTTGGGTTGGACAGTCGAATTTAGAGAAGATGCAATCTTAAGGTTTCGTTTCTCTTCACCTCAAGGAAGAATCTATTACTCCCTTATCAAGGCCTGCAGTGATTTGCTGCACCAGAAGGTGGACGAGGAGTGTGAATATTCTGATGATTCTGAGCATGACCGCTCAGGCTGCAGTACAAAGAGGTTGCATTCTATAGTGGATTACCGTGTGAATTGCTCAGGTAGAAGTTTCAACTGTGCTGCTTCTGGGAACAAAAAGGTGGAATTTAGGGCAGACGAGGACATTGAACCTGAGTATTTACCAGAAGCAATAACGGAATATGAGGGTTTCATGGATTTGCAAGTGCAAAATGGTAAACGAGCAATCTTAGATGCGAATGTTAAATTGCTGAGATTGAATGCTAAAAGACATCTTTTATACATGGGCTGGTTCTTTTATCTTAAAGACAAGAAAACTAAGCAAGAATTATGTTACAGGTCACCAAGTGGCAAGTCCTTTCATTCTCTTATTACAGCCTGTAAGGCCTACTTGAAAGAAAATAGAAATTCCACCATTAAGTCTCTCCATTCTGTGGGCAACCAGAAAAAGGTCAAATCCGAATTGAACGTTGAACACATTGAATCTGAAAAGAATGATAAACAATGGGAACTCTGTACCATTTCAAATGCTGCAACAAGTAAAGGCTTCCATGAACCTGCTGACTTTTTGGATAAGGAAACTGTAAGAGAATCAACATTTTCTTGTAATTCATCAGAATTTGGAGAACGTAAATTTGGTAGATTGCGATTCAAAAGAGTTGCAAATTTAAAGAAGAAAAGCATGCCTCTTTCTCCTTCACATGGTAGCACACAAACTTGTCTATCTGGTCAGGAAGCTGATTGTCAAAAATCTAAAAGAAGAGTGGCATCCCAATCTATCAAACAAGATGAGAAAACGGGCGAAAGCTTTTCATCTCGTGTGCGTAGATCAAGCACAAGTTTGCAGCAACTTGTAGAATCTTCTAGCCAGCATTCTGCAAAAACAGTTTTGTCTTGGCTTATTGACAATGATATACTATTACCGAGGCAGAAGGTTTATTGTATGTGTGAAAAAGACAGACAGTCTAGGAAGGAAGGCCGGATAAATCATTCTGGAATAAAGTGCATGTGCTGTAAAACAGTGTTCGATCTTGCAAGCTTTGCAGCTCACAGTGATAATAGAACTCAAAGGCCTTCTGCCACTATATTTTTATCTGATGGAAGATCTTTACTACAGTGTCAAATGCAGATGATGCATGCTAGCAAGCAAAAAAATTTCCCACACATCAGATTGAAGGGTGACCTTACTCAACATCAAAGTGATACAATCTGCTCTATCTGTCAAGATGGTGGTGCATTGATATTATGCGACCACTGTCCATCAGCATTTCACGTAACCTGCATGGGCTTAGAGGTAAGTTGCTTGTTTAATCTATTGATTGTAAAATGTCTTATTCTGTTTGCTGCATCTACCTGGAAATTGTCTTAACAGAGCTTGTTTTCCATTTCACTTGCTGAATATTGTTGGCTTTATTATCTTTTACCTTGTTTGCACATGAAGTTTCAGCAGCCGTGTTCTTTACCTTTTCTATTGTAGCACAGTGTCTTTGATGGATGGTTGAATTTTGTCATGGTCATTTACTCTAAAGGATAATGCTATCTGTATTTCTTGTGCTTTCAACTGCATTGATTGTATTATTTGCATAATAAATGAGGATATGATATTTGGGTTCTCTGTTATGAATTATCTTCTTTTTATGTGCATAAAATTATAAGGTCTAACTCTCATCTCTGACCGCTTTATTTGCTATTTTAATGTGAAACAGAAGCACTTGTAGGTAAAAGTTCAATATCTTACAAGTGAAATGCTTGCAAGTCGGAGTTTGACTAAGGCCTGGTGCAATTACTGCTTTTCATTTAAAAAGGTTGGACGTGCTTATTCTTAACAATTGAGGTCTGCTGGGCTTATTTTCCTATCAAATTAACAGATAGAAGGACATCAAAGAAGAGAAAAGGAGATGATTAAGATATAGAAGGGTATTGGGCATGTTTGTCAATGGAAAGCACCTTAAATTAATCATTGAAGTTTCTCTGCTGCTATTAAAGGCCAGACTGTCCCTCTCTATTTAAAGAATATATCGACATTTTCTAATCCAATTGTAACTCTTAATAGCCACTTAGAAGGGAAAGTTAAATGTTTGATGGAGCCCCATCTTTAGAGTTTGCAGCATCATCTGGAGGTTTATAACAAGGAAGTAGGAACAATGCACTAGTAGCATCTTAATTAAAATGAATCTTTAATAAACTTTTGTCTAAGTTGTATTCATCAAAACCTTTCTACATGTAATACATTTATATTTAACAATAGTGCTAAATTAACCTAAGAGAAGTCCCAAATGTAGCTTGGATGTGTCTAAAGAAGTCCTTTACATGCTCTGGTTAGGAAATTTAACTTAAGTTTATAGATCTGAGCTGATAGGTTTTGACCAAATAGGGATTGTTTGGAAATAATGAGTAATGACACCTTATACTATGCGATGACTTTTTTTAACAGAACCAATTTATGTTTAATGATTCTTGTTTCCGATCCAACATAATCAGGTGAGAGGTTGTTACTGTTGTGGCTTTATCAAAATTGTCTTTCTGAAACCGTGTCAAGTTTAATTTCCAAATTATGTACCTCTAACTTGTTAACAATTATAATATATCAGGTGGCTAAATTCTATTAATGTTGGTTTTCATGTAGGATGTCCCTGAAGGAAAATGGTTTTGTCCATCATGTAGATGTGGCATATGTGACCACAGTGAATACAATCATGATGTAGAGCAATTTACAAAGACAACAATGTTTTCCTGTGATCAATGTGAAGGAGAATGTATGTTTTGACTTTTTACCTTCTTACGTATGCATGCACCCATATGTTTGTGCATCTAAAATTTTCTTTTCTGTAGATCATGTAGGTTGCTTGAGAGGTGAAAGATTACAACAGCTTGGTTCTTGTCCAAATGGAAATTGGTTTTGCAGTAAGAAATGTTTAAAGGTACATTTCAACAAAAGAATTGAATCCTTTTTGGCACTTGATCTTTTGTGCCTTCATTTTTTGCTGGATATAATGAATCCTTTTTGGTGCACTTGAACTTCTGTAGTGATTGATATAATGAAAACATAACTTACTGCTAAATTTATCTCCACGTGTTTCAAATTTTGGTAAATTCTATGTTTTTATTTGTTCACTAGACTTGTAATCATCTTTTCAAAATTCATAGATTGAGCCGTTGTCGAAGTGGGTTTTAATTTGATCTAAAATTGTCCATGTCTAAGAACTGATGTGGCAGTGATAAAGGAGCTAAAGTTTGGTCCTTCTTGGGACCTTTATTCTCCAGATATTGACACTGTAAATCGTCTAAACCTCTTTGGTCAGTAAACTTATAGAGACTTGGTGGAAAATAAGCCGTCACCTGACTTGAACAATGCCATAATACAGTATCTGGTTCTTAATTACTCAGACATGCAGGTGAGAAGCTTAGCAGCAGTTGGAGGAGATACTTATGAAATTATAAAGAGACCATGTTAGTTAGATCAGTACACCAGAGATGTAGTACTCTATGTAGCAGATATGGATGGATGTGGGCACATAGCATATGGTGGTTGGAAGAAATAATCGGAGGGTCTGAAATGTGGACAAATTGTATCCATATGAATCTTTAATTGGGTTCAACCGACTAGTGGTTTCACAGTGCTGGCTTTATCAGATTTTGGTCAAAATGATCACTGTGTATGATAATGTACAGTGGCGTACTAGTTTGCTTTTGATTTTCGACCTTAGTTATACAGAGCAAAAACGCAAGAAGCACTTCCATCCTATTTGATTTTCTTGTTTTTAACATATTGCATTTACTTGAATCCTATTTACAGTTGGAACCTCCATTTCCTTGTTTACCTTTTCTAAAGATTCAAGCTTCCTCTATCAATTCTTTTATTTTCTCATGTGAGTTCATCTTTTCCTTCAATTAGTAGAAGTCACTCATGGAAAGTTTGTTCTTGATGTTTCTTATATTGCTTCTGCAGATATTCTATCATCTCTGTGAACTTATTGGGAAATCGAACCCAACTTCCGCTGTGGGATTATCATGGACTTTATTGAGATGGGGCAGTAATGATAATTCAGATCTTGGAAGATTTGCCCTTGAAGCCATGGCTGAGCATCACAGCAAGCTATGTATTGCACTTGATGTACTGCATGAGTGCTTTGTGCCGATGACTGAAACTCGTACTCAGAGTGATCTCGTTGCTGATCTTCTTTTCAATAAAGAGTAAGACACTTTCTCAAATTTTAGATGTAATATTGTTTTACTTTGCCCAATTATCTATGTCAGTTTACATGTGTATGAAGTGATGACTTGCTGAATCTTGTTACCTTGGTGTGGCATTTGATGACCTTTATTTATTTAACATGATAGTGTGACTCAGGAATTGTATGTTCAGTAAGGATTAAATTCTCGATCAAGGACCGGAACTGCTTAGTGGTCGGACCTATATGGTACAACTACCCAGGTGCTGTTGCAGTTGGACACTGGACTTGGACCCCATGAGTCCCCATAAAACCTTATCTTTACATATTTTTTACCTGAAAAATAAATGAAATATGTTTTCCAAACTTATCATATGTCAAGAACAATGTCAATTGGAATGGGAAGAGAAGTGAGATCACAACATTAGGTGGATGCCACACCACCGTTCTCACCTATCGAACCTGTGGTTTAGATTTTTTTTTTGCTCTTGAATTTGTTCCCCATCTTGTGATTAGTGGTGAAGCAAATTCTCTACTGCACTTTCTTTCAGAACTTTTGGGCTTAGGACATGTAAAAGGTGCAGGCAGAATTGTATAGCGTTCTATGATAATCCATGTGACTGAAACAACTTTGACTTCTCTGATTCAATCAAGATTCATGAACCTACCAATGTGTTTTAGGTCATTAGAAATGTGAAGCAATTTGCTCGTATATAAAGCTATTTGCAAGCCTAGTACTAATATTGCTGCAGCAGTAGCAGCCTTGCTCCTATATAGAGCTATTTTGCTAGCTTAGTACTATCATTGCAGAAGCAATAACAGCTTTGCTCCAGCAACAACTTTTTGTACTACAATTATGATAGTAACTTTGCTACTATCATAAGCTATTTGCTAGCTTAAAACCAGTAGAATTTTACTGCTGCTGCAGCAGTAGACAATTTGACCCTGCACAAAACTACTTGCTAGCTTTGTGCTAGAATACTGTGCTTCTACATCAACAAGCACTTTGCTCTTACCTTGAGCTATTTGCTACCTTAGTGTTACTATCAGAATTCAGAACAGCAACTTCTTTTGTGTAAAGAAGCTGTTTGCTACTCTAGTATTACTGCAGCAGAAGCAACTTTCTCTTTTGCTCATGTTTTACTAGTCTTGTTTTGAGTGCGATAATAAAAGTCTGTAAAAATAATAATTTTGCTTGATTATGAGGTGCACACAAGTCTGTGTGTGTGTGTGAGAGAGAGAGAGAGAGAGAGAGAGAGAGAGAGATGAAACCTTGTCGTTGGGAGGTTCAAACATTACCTGCAGCTGGCTAGGAGACCTGGTTGGATTTGGATTAGACATAGGATCCTTACTGGTATAGTACTAAGAGGTAAGCCATATTGAGTAGTCTGCTTGGTACAGTATAGATTTTTATGTCCTCTAACTGTCAGATCAGTAAATAACGATCTATGTCCTTGGGTATGCTTGAATTATAATTCTTGGTGTTTAATAACTTGATGATGTTAATGTCAACCTAAATAAGCTTTGCAGTGTTTTTGTTCGTTTTATATCTGAGTGTAGATTTTGCTTAGTTGGCTCCTTATTTTGTCTATGCCCTCCAGAAATTTGCTCCTTGCAGTAAATCTTCATTCCCCTTTATACTAATGATTTAGAATGTCTAGTCAGATTCCTGATGCTCTTTGGTCGCAAACTCATGCGATAACTTGTTTTAAATAGTTTGGATTGCACAAAACAGCGAGCAACATTGTATTCTTATCTTGATGACACTATTCCATAATGATATTTTTTTAATTATCCAACACTGTTTTCTATTTAATCTAAGGAACATGCAAAGATCATATAAAACTCAACACCCTTCTTTATCTCTATGGGTAATGTCTTCATTACCATACCTAAATAACCTTTTATAGCGACTGACCTCGATTACCACACCTAAATAACCTTTTATAGCGGTTAACTAGGGGAATATTCTGCAATACGAGCAGAATGTTCCCCCAGCCTGCTATTTTCGAGGTATTGATAAAATATTTCTTTGACCTACTATTTTAGATTAGTGTCCACATAGCCTAATTGTTGACCAGAACCTGTCTTCTCATTACTAACTGTCCTGCCACGTGTCGAGTTATGATTAGGATGAATATTTCCATAATCAAAATTTATTAATAAAAAGGAGGGGAGACTAATGTTTATGGCATTGCCAAGCAATCTCAACTTTTTCGATGGAGTATAAAGTTCTCCATCCTCACTCCATAACCTTCTAATAAGATCAGTGACCTTTTCTGACTTGCCACTTGTTTGACTTCTTGCGATCATTGTTTTCGATCATACTGCAAGGTTAACTTGATATGCTGCACAAGTTTGAGAAGTTTACCAGGTTGAAGACATGCACAAACTTGTGCCTTCTGGCAAGAAATCTTCCAACGCAAGTACTCATGGTTTTTTTGCTCCAGTAAAATAATACACAACGAACCTTTTCCAAATCTAATTTCTATTATAGTCTATTTAGCAGTTGATATTTTCCTGAAGCTGTGGCTCAAATGTTTGATCTCTTGACCATTCATGTTTGGTGCAGCTCCTCGTTGTGTTTAAACAAAGCCTGCTAGATTTGTGTTTAATTTAGCTTCCCTTTAAGTTGATTCTTTTAGTGCCATATGTGCCATTTCAATAGCTTTCATCTGAAGGCCTTCATCCAAAGTGAAACAACTTCTGTCTTCAGATGCTTATGTTGAATCCTGCCTTGTTGTTTCTCAGATCAGAGCTTAAACGATTAAATTTTTGGGGATTTTACACTATGCTTCTGGAGAAGGGAGATGAACTAGTATCAGTTGCTACTTTCAGGTTCTTATGTTGCTCTTTATCACTTTTAACACTTACATTTTCATGCATTCTCAATTTATTTTGCTTTCTGCTGAACTAATGTTGCTTTTACACTCTTGATCCAGGGTCTATGGTGACAAGGCAGCAGAAATGCCTTTAATAGGTACTCGTGTTCTGTATCGCCGAAAGGGAATGTGTCGTCTTCTTGTGAATGAATTGGAGAAGGTAATACCACCAAAAATGTTTGTCTAACTTTGATCGAGCTTGCATTGGGAAAATACATGCATCACATTGTTTGAGGAACATTTGATCTGCATATGTTTCTCTCTCAGTTAAGTTTCAATTAACTAGACCGAGACCAAATCATTCTTATAAAACTTGCATGGTGATTACTTACATCTTATAATTTCCCCTTAAGATTGTTCATAGCTAATGGCTGAACTTACTATTTCTTCTACTTTGAGCTTTTTCTATGAAAGAATTTTTAGATAGGATTCAGCTTCATTTAAGCAATGTTGAACTTGTATTTATTGTTGAAAGAGGTTTGACGAGTCTGTTTTCCTATGTTATGGTTAATTTTATATTTCTTCTGATGCCGGATGTTAAACTAATCATTGATCATGTCGAATGAGATTCTTATTTTATTGGTTTTCATCAGTTCTTTCTGCGTAAATGTTAATCGAGGCTCACGAGATGATGTATTCTCACCAGCTTGCTTTTCTTATTTGTTCTACAGTTGCTTTGTTCTTTAGGAGTAGAAAGGCTGCTGTTACCAGCGGTTCCTCAGCTTCTACAGACATGGACAACCTCCTTTGGATTTACCCAGATGACCAGTTCTGATAGATTAGAGTTATCAAAGTACTCCCTTCTTAGCTTTTCAGGAACTACTATGTGCCAGAAGCTCTTAGGAGCAGCTAAAACCGTTTCAGGGGTACCAGCAGGTGATCTTCCTTTCTCTAATTTTTCTGTCATCAATAATTCTGTCATAAACATAACTATTGTAATGGTAACAAATACATGCACAAAATTACATATCCATATGATACACATTTGGAGATTTACTTCAACGGATGATTTCTGTATCGAATTAGCAGATGGGTCTGATTGCGAGTACTAAAGTCTTTACTTGTGAAAGACATAATATAATATTGATCCCTTGCTGATGGACCGTACCTGCTAATGTAGATAGATACTTATGAGGATATTGTTTCATCATCAAAGTGATGCTTTTCGTCATCTTCACGCAACAGACATGCAGACAGACCAGTTAGCATCGCAAAAATAACATGAACAAGAAGCTCACAGCAGTAGAGGTATGTTTTCCTTTTAGACCCGTGTGCTTTTTCTTATTAGCCACAACTTGCAACTCCTCCAGCTGATCATTAGGGCTTTCCCACTGTTGATGCAGGCAAGCACAAAGAAGAGTTGCATTATGATCGATATCTCCTCCAATCATTCCGGTATGCGCCGCCTGTGAAGACCATCACTTTTGTTATTAAAGGGTATATATATATATATATATATATATATATATATATATATATATGTCAAAGTGTGAAACCGCCAATTCCTCTGACCATCATGTAATTAATCTTTATGCTTCTTTAGAGATCTCAGGTTTCTGAAAAATCTTCTTTTTAGCTGCGAAAACATATTGAAATTCCATCCCAAAGTATTCTTTGACCATGTTTTTGTTACATTGTATTCCCGGAACGTGTTATTAAAACCTTCGTGGAGCTGTTGCTGCCACGTCCTATAAGTTCACTAGCATTGAAAACACTCCAATTAAGGCACGAGGCAGCCCTCGAAGAGTTTGATCTCATGATCAGATACCGAAGTTTCGAGATCCTAATTTGCAATAAAGATGTTGTTTCGATAACTCCTCAAATTTTGATGATTTGGTTCGGCTCACGGCATGATGAAACAATAATAATAATAATAATAATCGTTACTTTTTTTTTCAATTTATTTATTTTTATTTTATATATTTATTTTTATTGTCATGAGATGTTACACAAGAACTTTTGAATCCATTTCGAGGTGGTAAAATTCTCTTAAACCCTTATGGTCTTTTAGATCGATCACTCTTTTTCATCTACGTTTTTAGTGTTAGGTTGACAATGCCTTTATTCATCTTCTTCTTCCTCAGGATGGCGATGATTTCTTCTGCTTTTCTTGTTGATCGAATTCGTTTCCGAGTGGTGATTTTCTTGAACTCTTCTTCTCTTGTAGGTATCGATCTAGAATCTCGGCTAAGATAATCACCTCGAAGATTTCTGACTTTCTTGTCGATCGAATCCGTTTCGAGATAATGATGTTCTTTAACTCGTCTTCTTGTCTTCTTGCTACCGATCAAGAATCCAAGCCACCAAGATGATCAGAACTAATTATTACTCGGCATATGAAGTTTCAGGTATCTGTGCATCACCTTCTAATTTATTAACCATCAAGTCATGCGACTTGACCATATCAAAGTAAAATGCAAGAAGCTAAATGCAAGTTCAAGCAATATGGCCAAAACTCAGCATCCCAAGGCAAGCACTATCAAAATCAAGGGCATGCAAAAGTCCAAGGTGAGAGCACAAACCAAGTTGAATCCAAAAATGGTCTGAACTTCCATCCAAGGGACACATCAAGTAAAGTTTGAATCCAGGAAAACAAGATATAATCTCTTTCAAATCATTACCATTACCAACAATCTCAACAAATATGATTTTTTTTGTTTTTGTTTTTGGGGTACCACAACAAGCTTAAATAACTGTAAAACACCACCACCCATGATTCAGATATTCATGTACATGTCTTCTTTAAGCAAATTTCAACCCATATTTGAAAGCTTGTTCATATAGTTTAGCATCCCATCCAGTCAGTCAGAATGATTTGGCTTGAGAATTGGACAAAAGTGAGCCTCAGAGCTCTAATCCACCATCAGCTTTATGAAAAAATAGATCCTTTTATTTGTAAACTACCGCTTAGGAGAGAGGGATTAGTAAGTAGGAAACCTGATCATCAAATTCCAAGCATGTTGAAATTATCTATCACAAAATCCTATATATCAAACTATTACTAACTGTCACTAATTCTTGATGAAAATAGACCAAGAAGGGTAAAATAAACACCTGATAAGGACAAAAATATCTTATTTAAAAAAGTAATGGCTGACAAATAATATGCTACAAAAAGATATAACTATCAGGTTCATTCCGAGCACCGAAAGAACAAATTGTTGATATGTACACTCGAATGCTTTCACCCCAACAAAATGGGAGAAATAAAAGCCATAACATGGGTAGCCCAAAATTATCTTCAAAGTTCAATCTACATAAATCAACAAAGTGAAAGTAACTCAAGTATCATCTACCTCTAAACATCCAAGCCCATCGTCCATATAGAAGTTGCTAACGGAAAGCTCTTCAGTAATATTGTCCACGTGTTGCCGGCACAAAACTCCACAGATATTACCCTAGAAGCTTACTACTTAAAGCAACCTTGTGTTGCAATAGGAACCACAATCTCATTTTCAGAACTTAGATTACACTATGAACAATACTTTGTGCTACCGATAAATTCTCCCTTTAATTAATCAAGACCTAAAAGAAGGACTTACAGCCTTCAAGGCTCAAAAGCAGAGCACCCTTTTGGTCAGATATCAAGCAATTTTGTTATTAGCGTAGAGTTGAAGTGATTATCAATGCATGAGCTATAATTCACAAGACATTTTATATAACCAAGTTACTCTTTGTGAAAAGAATAATGAACCTAATCGATATTGGACCAAGATAGGTAAAAGGTCATTTATCATAAATGAGTTCATTTGCAGACAAATTACCAAGAGCTACCCTATGAAGAAAAGGAGATACAGAGACTAGTAGCATAAAGACCATATAAAATTTGTACTAGAACATAAAGCATGTTAAGTCATCATCTACAAATTCAAAATTATTGTGTAGTCTATCACATTTGCAACCAACTATTAAGTGTGTTCAGAAACTGAATCGAAGTGGTAATTATCTAAAACCGTTGGAAGAATTAATATGAACAAAATTAAGATGAAAGGAACATGATTCATGGCCTTTTGGTGTTTTAGTACAGTTTCTTTAAGGTATTAACTGCTCCCACTCAACATTATGAGTTTGTTAGATGGAAAGAACAAGTACCCTTTCTTTAAGGTGTTAACTGACCCCAATCAGCATTACGAGTTTGTGAGATGGAACTCTTCGGTGCCATCCCCAAAGCCACCGATCGAATACTTGTTGAATCATTGTTCCCCAAGCATGTCCTGTACATCACAAGTTGTATTAACGTTTTCTTTACCAAAGAACTCCTCGATCCATTGACAGGTCGCCAAGCCTAAAAAGATTCGCGCGCACAAACAACAATTCGTCAAAAGCATCCAAGATAAACCCCTCACTCTGGAAAGAAATCAGAGAATAGCGATCTTCAAATACCGTCAAGAACCGTTTGCAGCGGAGGCAACCTCGCAGGAATCGGCAAGCCCCATGGGTCTTCCTCCGACGCCCAACAAGAATGGCCCGTTCACCATCCTCCTCCTCCGCGTCCCGTACGGGTACCCTCGCGCTGGGCGAAGTCTAGAAGCTGGATTAGGGTTTTGCAGCGAACGTAGTAGGCAAAGCCAGCGACGAAGGAGTCGCCGTCGAGCTCCGCTACGGCGAGATGGAGGACCTGGGTGTCCATGATGTCTTCTGCGAATGGCGGCTGCCTTTGGCTTCGAGAAATGAAATCAGGAGGGTCGAGCGAGAGCGAGAGCGAGAGCGAGAGGCGTCCGCTCTTTTTGAGAGAAGGGGTCATATGGATGAGCGCGAGGAGGTCGGCAAGAGTGTCGTCAAGAACTGGCAGGTCGCGTTAAAGGAATAGTGGTTGTGCACGAATCTTGATGAGGTCCATATCGGGGACGGATGTCAAGTGGCGTTGGATCCCTTTTCGCATGATGGTGGTATACTCGTATCTTATGGCGTGATTGGAATGAATACGGTGAGCTGGCGAGGCAATAACGTACGTGATGTTGTAGTAATCGTTGATACTAAGTGAAGTACTTCTATGGAAGTGGGATGATCGGACATTAAAGCAAACACTTTGAGGGCATCTGCAGCAGAAGCACTGTGAGGTTTGCGCCTATTTAAAGCAGACACGTTGAATATAGAGTCATCTGCTCATGACAAGAAAAAACGAAAAGAGGAATTAAAGCAAACACTTTGAGGGCAATAACACGAGAAGCAACAAGTGGAAGTTTCCTTCATGAAAAATGCAATGTGTGACCACAAATTTGAAGCGAAATAATGATTTCTTTTGTTTTTCTTTTTTTACCTGAGCGATCTGGTGGAACGCAAAGGCGACGACAGGTCGCCTGATTGCGCACTGGTTCTTCGACGTCACCATGGTCAGCCGATGGTTACGCCGACATCAAGGGCGGTGAGGACGCCGGAGAAGGGGAAGTCACGCCAGCGAAGGCGTCGGGGAGGACGTGGACGAGGGCAGCGAGGCACTCGACAATGAGGGCAGGCGCGGCCGTTGGCAAGCTTCCCGTCGAAGAGGCGGGCGAGCACCGCCAGGGACGACATCCCAAGTCATACGGTTCGTACGATTTGGTAAGAGTAGTGGTCCGTATTCACTTGGAAGCGGGGCCCGCAATCAACGTGTGTAATTTCGTCGGTGGTGATTGATGGCAATTGTGTCGGTGTTCGTTGTGTGCCGCGTGGGAACGTGCATGCATCGCTATTTACGATGTTGCCATCGATCCACAAATTATATTGCACGAAGAGAATGTTTTACCAACCCATTGTTTCTTACCGTGAGATTTGTGAAATTAGGTTTAATTGGATTAGATCTATTATTTATATAATAATACACTAACGGATGTGGTTGTTGCTATGGCTAGAGTTGTCCCGTGCCATGCATTCATGGATGACAAATCGATTGACAGCATGACATCCGTGGTGACCACACCTACTTTGGGACAGGATAACTACGTTGGCTTTTGAGGCCGCCGAGAAGCCAATGCATCTGTGGGTATCCTAAGACTAACGTGCTCCACCTCTCCAAGGCTCGCACCTCATTTTCACGCGAGTTGACTATGAATGGTTCTAGATGAGATTAGCGCTGCAGGAGGCGCACCACACCACCTGTTGCCCCGGTGACTAATAAGCTCGCAGAGGATTTGTTAGACCAAATCGGAATCGTTTGAGCTGGTTACGTTAAATGACAAAATTAGCCTTGAAGAATCGCTTCAGTCTTTAAAGCTTTTTTTATTTCCAGCATTTAATTGATCATATAATATATTACTTTGGAATATATAGAAAACGAGATTGAATTGTCACATGAATTTATTAGTTAAGCCATATAATATATTACTTTGGAAGATATAGAAAACTAAAACCCAAACCATTTATTAATGAGAAGGGTATTTTCGTCACTCAAGAACAAAGGCCTCTGTTTCGGTCGGTGGACACGTCACCGCTGGTTCTGCTCCAGCAACAGCCACGATTAAAATAAAATAAATGAAATAGAAAAGAAATTGGAAGACCCACAAAGAGATCGAGCCACGAGGAGAGGGAGACGAGAGACGAGGCACGACCTCCTCTCCTCCTCCTCTAAACCCTAACCTCTCTGATCGGTTGCTCTCAACGGATGGCCCTCTCTGCTCCGATCGGCTCCTCACTTCCCTTCTCCTCGTCGTCGGCTCTTTGTCCCCGCCGTCGTCCCCTACTCCACCTCCTCCGCCAACCCTATTGCAATCGCCCACTTTCCCTCAGGGTCTCCTCATCCATCTCCGATTCGCAGAACACTAATCCGAATGCTGTCTCCAAGTCTTTACACGTCAAGCCTCTGGAATCGGTGCGATTCGATCGGCTGCTGACGAGCAGCACCGAGGAGGAGATGGGCGAGGGGTTCTTCGAAGCGATCGAGGAGCTGGAGCGGATGGTGCGGGACCCATCCGATGTCCTTGGGGAGTTGGTCGAGCGGCTGTCGGCGCGGGAGCTGCAGCTCGTGTTAGTCTACTTCGCGCAGGAGGGGAGGGACTCCTACTGCGCGCTCGAGGTCTTCGATTGGCTCCGGAAGGAGAACCGGGTCGATGCGGAGACGATGGAGCTCATGGTATCCATCGCATGTGGGTGGATCGAGAGGTTGATCGGTGGAGAGCATGCGCCGGAGGACGTGATGACGCTGCTGAATGAGATGGAGTGCGTAGGTCTCGATCCGGGGTTCAGCATGGTGGAAAAGGTGGTGTCTTTGTACTGGGACAGGGGGAAGGAGGACGAGGCTATAGCCTTTGTTAAGGATGTTCTGAAACGAGGGGGAATCGGAGGCTATAAGATCGAAGAAGGGCACGAGGGCGAAAGAGGAGGACCAGTAGGGTATCTCGTCTGGAAGATGATGGTAAAGACTGCACTGCATTCAACCTTTTGTATGATTGTTAGTGTAGAAAATTGATTTATTTCTTCAGTACTGGCAGTCGTAAGCGTCAATTTTTATTGATCTTTGAGTTGCTACGCTACTTAAATCATCATTCCTGGTTTATTGAACTGTATAGATTTGTTCTGGTTAATTTCTACTGTATATCTGATGAACTGAAGTATTTGCTGATTCTAATGTTTAAGGCCAACTTATATTTTCCTCAATGTAAGGGGCCACTTACACTTTACAAACTGATATTATCTGTAAAGAATTTTGGGGCAGTATCATTCTAAAGCTGTAAACTTATGTAGTTCTATCAGATTTTAAGTGTCGTAGAAAAAAGTTATGATTCTTGAAATCCAACTATCTCTTTTGTGGTATAGAAAGAGGTTATGATTCTCAAAATCAGCTGGATGGGCTTAGAACCACCCAACCCACCCCTGCACACCTCCCCCCCCCAAAAAAAAAAACAAAAAATCTCTCTGCTTCCTGCATAAGTGTAGCAAATTTCATTCCCTATTATTCTTAAAAAATCCTTAAGTAGGTACCACATGTTTGGAAGTGGGAACTGCTCTTGATACTTTATTTGGTGTTTTGCAGACAAACTCTGTTATTAAAGCTAGCGGCAAATTTACGAATGCCAATTATGACATGAGAACAATTGAAATTTGTTATTTATCTTTCTAGTATCATTACTACCTAAAAATATTTTCATCTAGTGCACTGCATAAGATTTAGAATCTTGCATCTTTTCTACCGTTCCTGGCCTTTCCTTGACTCCCTGTTGTCTAGAATCACTATATCATTGGACCAGAAAGGCAATCATAGGTTCTTATTTTCTTTTCTGGTTTCTTTCAGGTAGATGGAGATTATCTGGGTGCAGTTAAATTAGTTATCGAATTTAAAGAGAATGGGTTGAAGCCTGAAGTTTATAGTTACCTAATTGCTTTGACGGCATTGGTTAAAGAGCAAAAGGAGTTCTCAAAAGCTTTGCGTAAGTTGAAGGTTTCAATTAAGGCAGGCTTGATTAACGCACTGGATGCTGAGAATTTGGGCAATATTGAAAAGTATCAGTCAGCCCTTATAAGGAATGGAATCCTTTTGTCAGACTGGGCACTGCAAGAGGGTAGTTCAGCAATTTCTGGAGTTGTTCATGAGAGGCTCCTTGCACTGTATACTTGTGCTGGTTTTGGACATGAGGCGGAGCAGCAGTTGTGGCTAATGAAACTTTCAGGTAAGGAGCCTGACAGGGAACTTTATGATGCTGTGCTAGCAATTTGTGCTTCCCAAAAGGAAGCTGGTGCTGTCGGTCGGTTGCTTGCTGGAGTGGAGATTATGAGTGTTGGGCTTAGGAAAAAGACATTATCATGGCTGCTACGAGGCTATGTGAAAGGAGGGTTTTATGTAGACGCTTCAGAAACCCTCATAAAAATGCTCAACTTGGGCATAAGCCCAGAGTACTTGGATAGGGCTGCCGTTTTGCAAGGACTAAGAAAAAACATACAAGAATCTGGAAACATTGAACCTTACATCAAACTTTGCAAGCACCTCTCTGATAAGGATCTCGTTGGACCCTGTCTTTTATATATGTACATACACAAGTATAAACTGTGGATTCTGAAAATGCTTTGAAAGATTTGTTCATTTACCCTCTGCTAGTCAGATAAGTGAATGAATTACTCTTGCAAAATGTTTATATTTGAGATCTCATGTGAACTTGCAAAGGATGCCGGGCAGAAGAGTGAGTGTAGTGGGCACACATACAGGTATCAATATGAAGTGTTACGAGTTGTAAAAAGAGTAGAATGTGTATACTTGTATCATCCAGGAATTACCATATTATTACGACTGTTGTTATATTTTGTATAGTTATAATTTCACATCTTGTGGAAATTGTACAGTGGTTGGCTTTTGGTTGTTCCAAGATAATGGGGCTTGTAATCAAAGCTATCAAAGTAGTTCGTCAAATCAGATGCCTTGTGCTCTCCATTTTATGGAATATTGGACACCGATGCAGGTGCCTCCTCCTTTCTTCGTTTGGTGTACCTGAAATTCTAGCTCCATCCTAGTGTAATTAAGATTTATTGGCAATAAATCTATTTGTTATTTTCATATTTAAGATTTTCTTTGTTCTCTAATATTGGAGTCATTACATCTGTAGCTATGATTTTCCGGTCATCTACTTAACTATTTTGTTGCCTAACCAACAATTTGAGATGGCTGTGATTCTTTGCACTTTTATATTTCACAGTTTGTTCATTATGGGCTGAATTGCAGAGGAATAGGCTCTGAAGATATCTACTAAACTTTCCTGTAGGTTTTTCTTTTACTTTTGGAGTTATATTCAGAAACCTTGAAGGCCTGAAGTGATGCTTTTAGTGAGCAGGTACTCCACCCTGACAGAAGAAGCATTTGATCACTTGAAATACTATTGTTGCTTATGAATATTATCCTGATTACATCATGGATGACAAAGTACACAAGAATGCCTTTGTAAAATAGGTTTATTGTTCTTGGACGGTCTTGGGTGTTTTTCTGTGTTAAATTAATTATCTTGTTTCCAAGTGGGTTGACTTTCCATCAATAGTGTCTCACTGCTAACTCTAAACTTCCAAAATAAGTCTTAGGTGCTGTGCTAGGTTGTGGAGCATTAATTTGATGCAAGATAATTTTTCTCAGGTACAAACCTGGTATTTGATTCCCTTTCAGGTGGTGTTAAATTTGTCAGGCTGCAGCACCAATCCTTTTTCGTTTGGCATGCTTAGTGCCAAATCTTTTGCTAGCCTGATTATGACATCTGAAGATCTGATAACAATTGAAAGTTCTCTTTCATCTATTTTACTGTGCTGTACTGATAACCAATCAAATTATTCTGTTTCAAGTCTTCACTTCTATCCTATAAATATATATATATGTGGCTGTGCAATTGATCACCAGAACATCAAGCATTGGTTGACAGATGGGAAAGTGGTTCTTATTGGCGGCTAATGAATGGCATGATGGCAGACTGGTGAACATTTTCAAGGGCCACATTTCAGTAAATAAGAGAGGGATCTTTTCTTGGCATACACAAGTCATGTGAAGTCTGCTGGCTTTAGATGATTTGTTGATGTCTTTGTTTTTGCTACTTGGTTCACAATGAGTATTTGCTGGTTTTTATCAGTACATGATTAGCTGTATTAATGACAGCCTGTTTTCTCTCTCTGTCTCTCTCTCTCTCTTGCATGTTGTATATGAAGTTACTATGCTTCTTGGTAGCAAATCATTTTCTTGGGTTGTCCTCCTGCAGTTCAATCAGTTAAGGTTGGTGTTGGATTTATATGGCATAATGTGCAGAACAGGAGCAGCATGAGAGAGAACACAGTGTAGACCTCTCTAAAAGATCAACCTTTGGCTTTCCCAAGGTGTGATGCTGCTGGCAAGAATGCTCCTTCTCGTCGTCTCCTTTTCTCGGTGTCCTTTTCCATCCGTTTTTGGCTGAGCTTGAAGTGCGTGCCCTCGCGCTCCCTTTTCGTCGTCACCGACCGTTTCCAGAAGAATCTACCGATGAAGACCTCGATGTGAGAATTCCTTCCTATAAAATCCCTTTCAAATTTGATTCAATCCCCATTATCTCTTCTAACTAAATATATATATATATATATATAAATCCGCGAGATCACAGGAAAGCGAGTTCGAGAGATCCGTCCTGCATCCACGGTGGTTTGATCTGCAAGCTTGGCGCGAGTAATGACGACAAATGGGACCTGATAATTTATAGCGTGGGTCCGGCGTCGTGGGACCGATAGCTGTGCCACATCCATGGAAGCTGGCTCTCCATTCTGGTATCCGGCCGAGTTTACCCCCGCTCAGCTGGCAACGGAATGCGCCACACGTAACAGCTTTTGGTTTCCCTCCCCGTGGGGGACTTCTTCTTGCCCTCGTCGCCAGATATAATTCAAAATATTAAAATTATATATCGTTATACGTTTTAAATTAGAATAAAATAATTAAATATCATTTAAATTGATTTATTTTAGGTTTTTTAGATGGATAGTAACGGTGGTAATATTGTAACGATGGATATGCTGTGGGGGGAAATTGTAGTGAAATGTGCACTTTGGTACAGACTTTAATAGGGAGGCTGTTGGAGTTACCATTCATGGGGGCGACGAACGACCGATGCGGGGAGAAGGGAAGCAGAGAGGAGGGAGAGGGGGAGAGAGAGAGAGAGAGAGAGAGGCCGACATCCGCGCCCCTCCTCCTCCTCCTCTTTTGACGCAACCAACCTTCCCTTCCCTCCACAGCGGTTGATCCATCCGATCCTCTTTACCCTCTGACTCATATATCCCTCCATCATTTCTACACACATAACTGGAGAGAGAGAGAGAGGGAGAGAGAGAGAGAGAGAAAGAAGAAGAAGGAAGAAGGAAGAAGGAAGAAGAAGAAGAAGAAGAGATCCATCATCCATCTCTTCTCCCCCATCAACACACCTCCGGCCCAACCATAAAGGTACCATCTTTCTTGAGAAGGAAAAGGAAAAGAGTAAAGTGGAAATGTTTCTCCCTCCTTGAGCCCCTCGATCCTTCCCTTCTTCCACCTCTCTCTCTCTCTCTCTATCTCTCTCTCCCCTCCTGCGGTGGTGTTTGGACGCTTGGCCGGCCGTTACCCCGACTCTTTCTTTTTCTTCTTGCTTTTTCCTGTAGAGGAGAGAGAGGTAGATTGAGGGTGCCAAGAAGAGAAGGGAAGGAAGACGAGAAGACGACGATGCAGAAGAACCATTTGTTGACGACGCTTCGCAGCCTGAAGCTGATCGATGGATGCAAAGGCACGCAGGTCTACGCCGTGAATCAGTCGGCGTCGAACGGCAACGCTCCGGCGTCGTCCTCGTCCTCGTCATCAGTCGGCGAGAAGCCCCTCCTCCGCCACGTCGCGTCCCTCCGCTCCAAATCCATCCAGGGGGGCAACAATGGCGGCGGCCGCAACCACTATACCCCTTCCCTCCTCCCTGACTCGCTCCTCCCCTTCGGCCTCCCCTCTGCTGACCACATCGACCCCCCCGTCGACCCCTTCCTCCGCCACGTCGACCCTGTCTCCGCCCTCTCCGACTCATTCCGGCGCCTCTCCTCCACCACCAAAGCTGAAGCCGACGCTGGCGCCGGCGACGAGCGCCTCCTCCTCCTCTGCGACCTCCACCTTGAGCAGCTCTCCCTCTTCCGCCCCGTCGCCGATCCCAAGCTACTCCGCCGGAGCCTTCGCTCCGCGCGCCTCCACGCCCCCAACGCCCACCATCGCGTCGTCCTCTCCGCCTGGCTCCGCTTCGAGCGCCGGGAGGACCAGCTCCTCCCATCCCCCTCCCCCCTCTCCTCCTGCTCCCCCACCTCCCCCGCACTAGAATGCCCCCGTGCCGCCCTCCTCTCCCCATCCTCCTCCTCTGACCTCCTCTGCCCCTGCCGCCATCCCCCTCCCGATCCCTCTCCCTCCTCCTCCGCCTCTGTCCCCGCCCCCCGCCGCCATGGACAAGAAGAGATTGAAGACGCCGATGTCTGGTTTTGTATTGGCGATGATGAGGTACCCTGCGTCCGCTCCAGCATTGCCGCCCTCTCCAAGCCCCTCTCCACCTTGCTCTATGGTGGCTTCGCAGAGGCCCAGCGGGAGCGCATCAGCTTCTCCCACAATGGCATCTCCGTCCGCGGGATGAAGGCCGTCGACGTCTTCAGCCGCACCGGTCGCCTGGACGAGTTCCCACCCGACACCGTTCTCGAGCTCCTTGCATTTGCCAACAAGTTTTGCTGTGAAGGCCTCAAGTCCGCCTGCGATGCGAAGATGGCATCTTTGGTGCGCAACCTCGACGACGCCCTACTTCTCGTTGAGTACGGGCTAGAGGAGACCGCGTACCTCCTCGTCGCTGCTTGTCTTCAGGTGTTCCTCCGTGAGCTCCCCAGATCCCTCAGCGATCCTGACATAACGAGGCTGCTCTGCACCCAGGAGGGAAGGGAGCGGTTAGAGGCAGCCGACCATGCCTCGTTCTTGCTCTACCATTTCTTGAGTCAGGTGGCCATGGAGGAGGACATGAAATCCAATACCACGGTGATGTTATTGGAGAGGTTGGTGGAGTGCGCCACTCCTGGGTGGCAAAAACAGCTATCTTTGCACCAGTTGGGATGCGTAATGCTCGAGAGGGGTGAGTACAAGGACGCCCAGAGGTGGTTCGAAGAGGCAGCTTCCGAGGGGCATGTGTATTCCCGCATCGGTGTTGCAAGGGCCAAATTTAAGAAGGGGCACAAATATTCTGCTTATAAGCTGGCCAGTAGCCTCATTGATGATTTTGAGCCCGTGGGATGGATGTACCAGGAGAGATCATTGTATTGCAATGGCAAAGAGAAGATGTCGGATCTGAGGGTCGCCACTGAGCTAGACCCGACCCTCGCTTACCCTTACAAGTACCGGGCAATTGCTTTAATGGAGAATGGCAAGGTTGGTGCAGCCATTGCTGAGGTCAACAAGATCATCGGGTTCAAGGTCTCGACCGATTGCCTTGAGCTTCGTGCATGGTTCTGTCTGGCACTCGAGGATTACGAGGGGGCGGTGCAGGATACAAGGGCGCTGATGACACTGGACCCCAGTTACTTGATGTTTCATGGCAAACTGCACGGGGACCAGTTGATTGAGATCCTCCAGCAGCATGGGAAGCAGTGGGACATGGCTGATTGTTGGATGCAGCTCTATGACCGGTGGTCTGCAGTGGATGACATTGGTTCTCTTGCTGTGGTGCACCAGATGTTGGCTAAAGAGCCTGCAAATAGCAGCTTAAGGTTTAGGCAGTCGCTTCTGTTGCTACGGTAAGCAGTTCATGCACAAAGTCTTTGCCAAAAAATTGTGATTAAGGTACCTTTGATATTTTCAATGATCACTATGGAGAAAATTGATGATGTTTGCTGAAACTTCATGTTGCTGCCCAACCATTTATTTCTTTAACGGAAATTCCTTATCAATATCACATCCGATGAAAGATTTTGTTACAATTCTTTCTAAGCTGTAGCTCTATCGGTCTCATTGTTTATCTTTTGCTAACTTGCTATTGCCTAGTAAATTATATTAGGGAAGTTTTCTGGATCCTACTATATGTCCTGATGGATAATAAATGACATGTTTTTTTCCAGCCATTTGGATTAGGATATAACTATATAGAATAGATGGATGTATTTGACAATTCTCAATAAGCTATTGGCTCTGTTTCATTCCTTGCTTATCAGTTGCTAACATGTTATTGCTTAGTAAATCATTTTTGGGGGACCTTTTGTAACCTCCTATACGTCATGATGGATAATAAATGAAGTGTTTTCATCTCTCCATTTGGATAGGGTAATATATTATGCTAGAATTTACAGAATTCTGCATACTAGATATTGAATGAACATATTTCTGTTAGTAAAGTGGTTGTGGAATAGTACTACCATGAAAAGATTTTTTTTTAGCCATATGATTAGAGATAGATTATATACTTGAAAGAGCAGTGGATGACATGTACTCTTCCATGATACCAATCATAGTGCTGAGCACTGAGCAAAAGTAAAATATTTAAAGGTAGGTTTACAAGGACCAAATCTGGACCAGATACTGTTATTAGTAAATTGAAATGATATGCATCTTTCTTTCCCTTTTTTTTGCCTTTTGTGTTGTCTTATTTATAGGTCAATTGGTTATGGGGTGTATCAACAAGGTCTTGGGAGTTGGCTTTGGTAGTGCTGGAGTCGATTATTTAACTAACATGAAAGATATTTGACTGATGGTCAAAGCTTAACTGCTCTTTCTAATTTATGTATTTAAATATCGTGCTATAGCAAGTGTATCATCTGTGCTGCTGGTTTGATAATATACACAACAACAACAATAACAACAAAGTGGTAAGTCCCAACTGTGGTTTGACAATATGTCGAATAATATTGAGGTATATTGTCACTTCAGTTAAAATTTTAATTTTTTACCAACATAATGTAACAGTCCTTGATGGAATTAGTACAATTTAGCATTTGTGATAACTCATTGTTGCGATGATTGTTCCATCATTGGTTTGAATCCTTCGACAGGTTGACACTTGTATAAGATGGATGTAAAACATTTATTGAAATGAACATTAAATTGGTAGGGTTCAATTATGTGAGATATCTACAAATAGAAGAGACCAAGGATTTATTGCTTAATCATAGTATTTTGTAGCTTTGGAAGTGTGTTACAGCTGTGAGGAATTTGAGCTCACTAGACCAATGTGTACCAACTATGACTATTTTCTTTTATGTAGCTTTAAATATCAATTGAAACTTGATTCTTGAGCGGACTTTGAGTAGGCAATCGATCTAACAATAGGGTGATCATATCATGTTCATGTTGAGCTTTTTAGTTGGAGATTAGTAGTGGTTCATAAACTCTTTTGTTTTAATTTACTGTTTGGTTGCTGCCTATATAGTCCACCGACTTTTAGGTAACCAATTTTCCTGAGTATTGAGTATTTCAATTTATGCAGAACAAAAGAAGTGGCTTAATAACTTTGACACGTGCAGCTCCTGTTGTTTGACAGCATCAAACTATGCTGATAGTGCTTTCTTATTTAGGTTGAATTGCCAAAAGGCTGCAATGAATAGTCTACGTCTGGCTCGGAATCATTCAATCCATGATCATGAAAGGCTTGTTTATGAAGGATGGATCTTATATGACACTGGACATCGTGATGAAGCATTAGCCAAAGCTGAGGAGTCTATCTCTGTTCAGAGATCATTTGAAGCATTTTTCCTGAAGGCATATGCTCTAGCAGATTCTAATCTAGATCCCACATCTTCATCTTATGTCATTCAACTACTCGAACAAGCTAATAGTTGTGCTTCAGATAACCTTCGGAAGGGTCAAGTATGAACAAGCCGACAGTACTATTTATAAATTTTCTTCATAAATTTGCATTGAAGTATGATGTAACACTAAAATCTGTGGAAATACTCCTTCAGGCACACAATAATATGGGAAGCATATATGTGGACTGTGATATGCTGGATGAAGCCGCAGAATGCTACTTAAAGGCACTTGGTATAAAGCATACTCGTGCACATCAGGGTCTGGCACGGGTTTACTACCTTAAGAATCAGAAAAAAGCTGCTTATGATGAGATGACAAAGTTGATAGAAAAAGCAAAGAACAATGCATCAGCATATGAAAAGCGATCAGAATACTGTGATCGTGACATGGCAAAGAGTGATCTTAATATGGCAACTAAGCTAGATCCCCTGAGGACGTACCCTTACAGATACAGGGCTGCAGGTGAGTTGATTAAGCACAGCAGAATCTTGGTTATCTTTTTTCATTCCTGAATGTAATTTTAGTTATAATAAGAGAAAAAGAATTACAAAGAATATAACATCTTATCAAGAATCACTCAGCTTAGAATAGGATCGTCCTTAACTAAGGAATAGGTTCATTAAACTTAAAACTTGTCACTATGTTGTCAAAATTGTCAAGCTTAGTAGTCTTCGCGGAAGCCCTCTCAATATGTTTGTTTTATCCTGTTTAAGCATAGTCTAGTTTGCATTTGGTACTCTAACTCAATTATGTCATTACGTTTGGTAATTTTAACTTGATAAATATATGAAATTTATGTCCCATTTTCCACTTCTTTAAACGGTGAAGTTACAAGTTGTTAAAGCACATCTGTCTTTTCTGTCATTCTGGCTGAACAAGGAATTCAGCCTTGTTCATGTTCAACTCTGTTATATGAGCCTGAGGCCCAATAGACTTTGGTCGATTCTCATAGTATGTGCGCAATTCTTCATTTCAAAGTATTCTTGCCATTGCATCTTAATAGCAATGTCGACTAGATAGTGAATCTTGAAGGATTTCATATTGATTTGTACTAATACTTTTTTACGATATACCAGTCAATTTAAGTGAAAACTTCATAGAAGATTCAGTGAAAATTCTTCGGCTGTTGCTTGTCCGAGTGGTTGTCCTTACAAGTTTTAGATTATTATTTTATGCATTGACAAGTTATGATGATGATGCCTTTTTTGCATGCACATACGGCTTCTACCTACTATTGCTTCGGTAGTGATCACTTACCTTGCATGTGCATGCAAGTTATGATGATCCCTACATATGATTCAGTCCAACAAGCATCAAGTGTTGCCAAGATGATGACTTACATTTCAAGTTTTCCCATTTTCCAGTTCTGATGGATGACAATAAGGAAGAGGAAGCAATAGCTGAGCTCTCGCAGGCAATCGCTTTCAAGCCAGACCTACAGCTGCTTCACTTGCGTGCTGCATTCTACGACTCAATGGGAGACACCGCATCCACCTTGCGAGATTGCGAGGCAGCACTGTGCCTCGACCCAAGCCACTGTGATTCCATGGATCTTCACAACAAAGCTCTCGGAAGAGCAGGCCCTCCGAGTACATAAACTTGTCATTATTGTCTCGACACGTTCTCATTCAAGATTCAAGAAGTGGCTGAAGATGATGATCCCACATAGCAAAGATGTAACTCGAAGTGGATCAAATTTACATGCAGGAAGCATTGTGTACATATTTATACAAGGTTTGTGAAAATTATATACACAGGTGGAACAACAAAAAAATTGGGTGCATTCCTCAGAAGACGGACGCAGCAAAAGATGTGTGAATGAAATACCAGTTGACAGGCGGCAGCAGAAGCTTTGAATCGTTCATTTAGGCTCATTTCTGTAATTTATATAAACAACTTTTTGAAGCATGGCCGTTGATGACGAGTTTTTCATTCGAGGAGAAGAAAAAAACATTTTTTTTCCCCTAGCATGTTTTTAATCACATCTGAAACAAAATTTATTACAATCTTTTTCAATCAGAGCCTTCAAGCATTTTCAAGCTTCCTCATGGAATTATTCAATTTGTTAATATTTATTCTGTATTGTCCTTTAATTGGTGTTACCTACACAGTTTAAGAACCCATGCTTCTCCCTGTAGAATTAAGAATGTCGTTGCTAACATTTCAAGCTGTTACCAAATGTTGAGAGGGTTGGCATTGTGAATGCATAAATGGAAAATTAGGACTCTTATTTTCATGTTTCAAACTGTTCTGTAAAATTTTCTTTAAGCAAAAAAAGTTAGCTATTCATTGATGAAAAAGGCAAATTCACCAGAAGAGGAAAGAGAAGGACCCCCCAGTTCTCAAAAAATAAAAAATAAAAAGGAGAGAGAGAGGTTGTTCAGATATTAGCTAGGGAGTGAGAACCTGGGAAATGGAAGAAACAAAAAAGCCTGACATAGTGAATACTGAGTTCCTTGATCAATCTTGCTTGCTACAAGGTAAAGAAGGCATGATCTGCTCTTGGAGAGTGAATACCATCTGTTTCCTACTTTTCTCGTGATTGATTGAATACAGCTGCTTTGTTTGTTCATTCACGACTAACATCTCTAAATATACATACAGAGCTTCCTACCATATGAATCGACCCATAAAAATAAAAATACAAAACCCCCTCAACTGTTCTTTTAATCTTCTCACGAGTGTAGCAGACGTTATAGCTTCACTCGGAGCCACCTCTCATCTTACCACATCCAATTAACATTTGCCACAGCTACAACGATCCTTCTCTCAAGACAACCAATTAACTGCTTCGTTAATCGTGCGCAATCTTGCAAAGATGTTTAATATATGCTGCTGTAATATCTTCGTGGGGCTGTACATACATACATAAATGTGAGAGATTAAATATCAGTCTAAGCACGAATCTCATTATATTCTCCATTGTTATTATCATCGCCGTAACGGAAGAGGATCCTATTAAATATCAATTACTCTTATAAGCAAGAAACTCTATTAAATATCATTCACTCTTGTAAGCACGAATCTGGTTGTGCTCTCTATCATCATCATCGTCGTAATTGAAGAAGGTCCTATTAAATATCAATCACTCTTGTAAGCACAAATCTTGTTGTGTTCTCCATCATCATCATCGTAATCGACGAGGATCCTATTAAATATCAATCACTCTTGTAAACACGAATCTCAGTGTGTTCTCCATCGTCATCGTCGTAATTGAAGAGGATCCTATTAAATATCAATCATTCTTGTAAGCACGAATCTCATTGTGTTCTCCATCATCATTGTTGTAACCGAAGAAGGTCCTAATTTACATGACTGATACTGATACAAAGGAACTATATATATATATATATATTTATACATTTATTTATTTATTTTTCATGTGCATTAAAGGTATGATAAGAGATTTTTTTTTGTAGAAGCTAAATATACCCAATAAAAGAAGCGGGTTTTGGAGACCGTTTCGAACGCGAAAGCGTTCGCCATCTCGGACTGTTCCCGCATCATCTAATAACCCCGGAGCTCTCTCTCCGCCGTCCGATCTCGATCAGATGGCGGGGGAGGTACGGCATTGAGGACAGCGGACGAGCCCGTTCTCGTTGCAGGCGGGACAGCTCCGGAAGACTCCGCCACCTCCCTTGTGAGAGTAGCACTTATGGCTCCCGCCACAGGTCGCACAGATGACGAAGCGCACTCCGCCGCAGCCGTCGCAGGAGCCGGCGGGCACCGGCGCCACCCCCTCCACGTACCGCCTCAGCTCCCCAGTCTCGTGGAGCTGACGGATCTCGTCGGCGCCGCCGACGTGCCGACCGCCGATGAAGACCTGGGGGAGCGTGGTGACCCCCCGCCGGCGGCCCACGATGCGGCCGAGCTCACCGAGGAAGCCGGCGTCCAAGGAGACGTCGCGCTCGTCGACGGCGACGCGGTGGCCGCGGAGGATGGACCGAACGAAGCGGCAGTCCTCGAAGGTCTTGCGGACGACGCGGAGGGAGGTGAAGTAGAGGACGATCCGCTTCTCCGCGCAGGGGGAGGGCGGGGAGGACCGCCATGAGCGGAGGACGGAGGAGGCGGAGCGGACGCTGTGGAGGACGGCCTTGGGCGACAGCCTCCTGGCGATGGAGGGGGAGGAGGGTTCGTCAAGGGGGCCGCGGACGTCCTTGAGGGAGGAGGGCTTGGGATTGGGAAGCCGCGGCGAGGCGATGGCGGTGGCGCCGCGAGGCACCTTAATCTTTTCCCATGACGTCCACATGAAAGCGGCCAAGGAAGGAGGAAAAGGGCAATGGAGGAGGAGGAGGAGGGAGGGGGTGGGGTGTGTTGATGGAGACCTCCCCTTTGAACCTAAAACTAAAAGGGGAAGGAAAGGAGAGTAGAAAGCGGAAGGGAGGGAACGAGCACGAGTGTTGGTTGCGGCGAGCGGTTGAGGATGCTCGGAGGTTGTCGAGGGTGTCTGCAACTCGGGGAAGGGAAATATTTGGGGCCGATGATTGCGTGGAATGGACGGTTGCGGTAAAACGGTGGTTTGCCCCTCGTTCGTCGGAACGGAAATGTTTCTTATCACCGCCTCGACGATCACCATCTCACGGACCTCCGCGCTCCAAGGGGCCGCGGGAATCGGGGGAATGGACGGGTTTAGTACCTCCTCTCTCGCGATCACAGGTCGAGAGCATCACACGGAAAACAAGTCGGATGCTTCCATTCCCTCCTCCTTAGTGCGCGCAGGGAAGGGAGCGGTAGGGGGAGGAAGTGAGACCAAATGTGATGGAAAGGCCTTGCTCGCTACCAGTTGGTGCGAGTAAACATCATCTTCCACGAGAGAGAGAGAGAGAGAGAGAGAGAGTAGTTCACTATTATA